CCATTTGTTCATAAGGACGGAGAGACTGATCGATGCAACTGTTGAATATGTTGAAGAATATATATACCTTTTGCCGTGCGAAGAGTCAGTTACACAATTTAAATATGTACTGGTTATAAAACTAGTATTTTCTGATATAACTAAAAATTCAGCTTGGTTTACTAGTAATTTTCCAAAGAAGAATTTTGAATTTAGAAAAGGGTAATCAATTTTTTTGTAGCTATTGGTAATACACAATTTGAACGGGCCTCGTTGAAAAATAAGTTCTGATTCGTGTTCTCAATCTTCAACTAAATCTGTCACGTTCCCAACTCTAATAGTCATAGCTCCACTTCCACCCTTCACCTGCCCAGTCGCCCCAACCAAACCGAAACGATTTATGCAAATTTGTTGTCTGTGCGCTTGTTGCGTGTCCGAGTCGAATGAAGGCGCATTCTTGAATTTATAATTGATGCGGCTGCATGAACAACAGCAACAGCAACAACAACAAGTGGTCATGACAACAACAACAGGAACTACAAGTTGCTATGGGGGCGGAGGAGGTGGGGGGTGGCAGCTTGGCGCTGATAAACAAACTTTAACGAGAGGACATCGAATCGAATTCCAGTCGAAATTGAGGGCGTTGCTAGGCATTGGGGCGTAACCAAAGTTCTTCCTAAATGGGGACGCCTCCAGGTTTAATGCCCGTGCACGTGACATGGACATGCAATTAAAGTCAAACATTACAAAAAAAAAAAAAAAAAACCAAAAATAATATTAAAAACAACAATTGTATTTACCAGCCACAATTCACAGAATACGACGAACAGAAAAAGAAAAACATGTTGGCTGTCAACTGCTGCCGCCAACTGAACAAAAACAATCAACAAAAATAGCAGGAAAAACCTTGGCATTTTCCATGGTTTTTAACGAGCTGCACACTCGCCTGGAGACTGCCCAGTGCAATTTTCACACATGCGTCCAGCGAAAGCAAAGCGGAAAGGGAAAGATTGTTTTTAAGCACAGGAAAAGTTGAAAAGTTGAATATTTACAACGTGAAAAGATTAAGTGGTGGGAATGTATCTTGCTGGCCATTGGCAAACTTCTTTTCAATTAATATTTAACTTATTGAAAAAGTTGGAAAGCTTGCAACACTAACTGGAAACAAGTCATGACTTTTTCTGTTACCTAAACAAGTTTATTCAATTTCTTATCAATTAAAATTGATAACGTTAACCGATGAAATGTTGGAAATGTCACTTAGCATTGGCAAACTAATTTAGAAATAAGACCAGACGCAGAATTGTTAACAAGGAAAGGCTTTTTCTGAAATCTAAACAGTTTTAATCATTCTCTCATCAATTTAAAAATGTTTAACAGTTGTTTTTTTTTGTAAAAGATATAATGTTTGGGATGGTACTTAGTGGCTATTGGTGGCTATTCTTTTTAATTAATTTATTATCTTATTGAAAAGTCAGATAGCTTGAAATAATATTGAAATAAGACCAAAAGCAGAGCTGTAAAATTCTTTTTCACATATCTAAACAAGTTTAATCATTTTCTTATCGACTCCAACTTTTTGTAAAGTTTTTATCTGATGAGATAGTTCGAAGATAAAAATACATTGCAAAGGTTTTTATTTTTGGTACTCTATTGATTTTTTTCGTGTTTATCAATGTTGTTTACTATCGTTATTTCATCGCCCAGGCGACAACTCTTTCCATTGTTGGTTGTTTTACATTCAATCTGTCAAACTAAAAGCCGAAAAGTAGTAAAAAGAGGGACAACGTTGGCTAAAAATAAATAAGAAGGAAACTAGTAAAACAAAACTGGTAACGAAAGTAAACAAAGTAAAAGAAATTCTCTGCAAACACTACACACATAAATATAAATGTCTAAGAACCTTACACCTCTTGACAGCAATTAAAATTTAATGAAGCCAGGGAATGTGTGTGCAAGTGTGTGAAAATGGCAGCAGGTGTAGCTATAAATTGTTAATGCCAGAAGCCATCAAATTAAACATACACACACACACACACACGCACACATGCTGCACATCCAAGTCAGCTTGCTGCAAAAAGTATGCAACACTTTTTGTACATTTCTTGATCGAGCGGAAATGAGCAGCTAGCTTGCTGCACGGGGAAACATGTGCTCGACATTTGACACCATAGACAACACTTACAGGATAACCAGGACATTGAGAACATACACAGCCAAAGAACTCAGTTAGTATTTTTGTTATTTAAGTCGACGATGAAATTAAATGAAATGCATGTCAGTCAGTTTGGCAGACAGAATTAGAGTGAGCTGGGCTGGGCTGGGCTGGGCTGTGCAAAAGTGGGCAAGTGGACGGGGAATAGGAGCAGCAGGAGATGGAGCAGGTCACAAATAACATTGTGTGGCAAGCACAACAGCAATGCAACTATATATAGCAACCATATAGTCATGTGTGTGTGCGTTTGTGTGTTTACATTTTTTGGGTATAAGAATGTTTATGTGACCTGATACGTAGCCCAGCTTGAGACTTTAATTAACTTGTCATTGATGATACAATTGTCCAATCAGTTCAAGTGTTGCCCGGATGATCAAAATATGATAAAACAAAGACAAGTGTTAAGTGATGCCAGGCAGAATGGACTCAGTTCTATGTCTGATTTACAAAGCATAAATTGAATGCGTTCAATTTTTATTAAACATAATTCTACAAATGCCTATATATAGAAACGATGTCAGCTTGACGTGCTGATTAAATATATATCTATATATATGTAAAATATATTGTTTTTGGAAATTTCATCAATTTTAGCACGCATTCAAGCGTTCCGTGACTAAGGCTTATAAAAATATATAAATAAATATGTGTTTATGGAAATCATTTATCGCAAATATAAATAAAAGAAGAAAACTCCCGGCTATAAATATAATAAAAAGAAGCTTACAAATTAAAATAACTATGCCAACTAATCTGGTATCGAATTTGACGCAAACACCTCAACTGATTAAACCTGCCAGACTCAAATAACACGAAATGTCGACTTTTACTGCAGTTTTCAAGTGTTTTCTCCCCGCTGCTGATTGCTAAATGTTAGTGTCAGCGAGTGTGTATGTGTGTGTGTGTGTTTTGTTGGGTATATGTTTATGTGTGTGTATGTGTGTGTGTACATGTGACTAAGTCATTCATGGCAGCTTGCTTGTCTCTCTGTCAGTCCCAACTCAATCACAATTTTTGACGCATTTCCATTTGCAGCTGTCGCATTAGTGCTACAGTTACAAAAAAATCCCCTTCAAAACTAGAAATGTTTTCTATGTTGTTACAAATAATTTTCAAAGTTTTTTTCTAAAATTGAAGGGTTTGCTAAGTCGACAATCCCAAAAAGATGATAAGTTATTTCTGTTTTTTAGAATCACTAAGTAAGTTTTCGCAAATTTATAATGAATCTGAATAATAAGCTGAGTTATCCCTGGCTAATTTGTAGAATTCAATCCGATTTGGTTTTTCTGAGTGTAAGCAACTTTACCAACATTAATTATTCAGTTAAAGCATTCTCCATTCCCCTTGCCAACTAGTCGAGCTTTAAACTTTTTCCATTACGTTTGTCAAGTGTGTCTATTAAGGGGCGTTTCTCTCTCTCTCTCTCTATCTCTCTCTCTCTTTCTCTTGCCCCACACACACTCAGACACGCACACATACAGAATTTCGCATATTACGCAATCCACTCAGTCGCAACATCATTTTTCTCCTATGCCACACAATTTGACTATTGTTGCCAAGTTTGTTGCTTTGCATTTTCAATTGAAGCCGAATGTGAAACATTTGTATAACAATTTGACAAATGCAGCAAGCCCCCTGCTCTCTCCCAACATGTGTAGTTTGTGTTTGTTGCAAAGTCAGTGGGAGACACAGATACAGATACATTTACAATACGCAATCTGCTAACGACGCCCACGCTTAAAAGTTTTTTGGGAACATGAAAATCAATATGAGGTCTATAGAGAATGGAAGCGTGTAGAAGATGGGACAGCTCTCCAAAGTGCAACTGCATTGACACGCCCCCTCCACTTGCCCCCTCCAAACTCACCCCTCAATAGTACATGTCATGCTGTTGCATATTTAACGCGAATGAACGAAGCCATCCAACAGATACGACTACAACAGCAACAACAAATATATCTCTAGTTGGGGTTACGGCTTGGATGTGTTTTGGGGGCAGCCAGCAACTGTGACGAAGATTGTGCTTCCTTTTGATGGGGGGCACAAAATCACGAAAATGTATGTGCATTGAATAGCAAGCAAACATTTAAGTGTGTGCGCAAAAACAAATTGGAGAAGTGGAGAACACATTCGCAATTTCTATAAACACCTCTTTCGATAAACACTTACTTTGAATTTGCAGACCCAAAAGAAAAAAAATATCTTAAAGTGATTTTAGATACTCAAAGTTACTAATGCTTCTACTCGGCTTGGCTACAAATTGAATGCAAATAATAAATAAATGTTGTTAATCAAACAATTCAGAAGAATAAATAACAATAAATAAGAACAATTCGAAATTTCCAATTGAATACTTTGCTACTAAATAAAAGACTTAACAAAAGATACAAATATTTATAGAGTAAATATGTATTTCAAAAGTAAATTAATTAACTTAAAAGAATTAGTTTCAGCTTTTTTTTTTGGCATATTTACAAAGTATAAATATAAACCCTGAATTCTAACTCAATCTGGAATATATTGCAAATTAAATGGAACTAAAGTGGACTTAATTTTCTTTTTTTGGCAGCATATTTAATGAAAGCTTCAGTTGGGAAACAAGCTGAAACTTAAATGAAAAATAATGCCCGAATCCTAACTCTGTAATAGTATTTATCTCGAGCATATCTGGTAAATATATATCAAATCAAATGTAACAAAATCGATTTCACCTTTGATTTGTTTTCGCATATTTAATAAAGAACTAAATTTTTATGAATATAATTCTCAATAAAGGAATTTAATACAAAAATTGTTTAAAGTCTTTTTTGGGCATATTTACAAAGTAGATTAATAAATCCTCAATCCTAACTCTGTAACAGTATTCATCTCGAGTATATCTGCTAAATCATATTTAATAAAGAACTAAGTGTTTAAGGATATAGTTTTCAATAGAGTTTAATACAAAAATTAGTTTCAATTAAGTCTTTGGACATATTTACAAAGTATAATAATAATTATGACTCAAGTAAGTCTGCTAAATATATAGAAAATCAAATGGACCAAAAGTGGATTTCATTTGGAAAATAATTACAAATTCTCCGATAACTGAAACTGGAATGTAGACTTTGGATTGGGTGGGTTAAACGGCCACACTATGACTAACTAACCTATGGACTAAGCAGAAACCAATTCAAGGAACTGTCCACAATCCGCTCTCTTGCTACCCCTCTCGTCCCATCTCTAATTCTATCTGTTATCTTAGGTGCTGCTCGAATTGGAGCTGATGCTCTGCAGGGAACTATTCGAGGCAGTTTTGCGCAGTGCATCGCCCGCAATGCCACATAGATTCTGTACCAGCGACGCTGAGGAGGATCGTGCCACATCCGGTGAGCACTTGGCATTGTTGGAATTGCTGCTGCTGGCCACCGAACTCGTACTGACCGCCAGCCCATGTCGCAGCGGCTGAGGCGATGTCGGATTCGACAGGCCGGATTCGTGGATGGGCGACAAGGTGGGCGAACGTGTGCGCAGGAAATGCTTCCGCCGCTGGCGTCTATAGACATTGCCCAGTCCGGGCAAATGGCGACTGCCGGCTGACGTTGTTGACGTTTGCGTTTGGCTGGAGATGAAGCCCAAGGTTTCGGCCAGCTCGGCCAGTTCGCTGGCATTCGGCATTTTGCGGCGTGTTGGCGGCGGCAAGGCCGGTGGCAGTGTCAACGAGTAACTGGTGGTGACACTATCATCCCGGATGACGCTGGTTGGCAGCAGCATTACCTCCTTGCCGAGATGTTCGTTGCTCAGATCGCTGCTGCCGCTGCTCGGTGAACTGCAGCTCGCTGGCAATGGTGGAGTGGGAGTTGTACCAGTTGAACTTGTTCCTGCTGGATTATCGTAGCCGCGACCCGGTTGCAGTTGCAGCGGCCGTATTTGATTCTGTTTGATGATCATCTGCGGCTCCGGCAGATGGCCGCGTTGACAGCGCGGTCGACGATAGCGTCCGAGCAGGCGCAACATATGGCGGAGTCGCGAGCTGCGCGGCGTCTTCAGCGGCAGCTCAGCGCCTGCCACATGTGGCAGCTCCAAGCCACCGTTCAGACTACGTATAAATTGCACAGGCAACTCGTTGGCATTCAGCTTGCCCTGCTCACGATAGGCGAGCGCCGCCAACAGATCCTGTGGCACATCCGGACTGTCCGGAACGCTGGCGCAACAATTCCACTTGCGACGCCAACGTTGCTTCGATGCGGAGGCAGAGGAGGAGGAGGAGGCCGGCGTCATCGTCGTTGCCGTTTGACTTGCCAGAGTACGGGTGCTGCTGCTACCCGCAGCACTGCTGCTCCGTAAGGGAGAACGGAGTTGAAAGGTGCACAAGGTGCACTGTTCCGTATACTGGAGATACGCTGATGAGCCGGCAGCAGCAAATCTTCGTTGTCGTGGCTCCAGATTGACCTGAGCACTGGCCGCTGTGCTCGAGCGTCGTTGTACGGAGCTCGCTGCGTAGCTGGAGCAGCAGTGAAAGGAACGCATTGCGGCCTCATTTTCACGTTCTCCCGTCTCCAGTTCGAGCTGGAGGCGATCGCTTCTGTTACGCTCCTGGAGCAGGGAGCACATGTAGAGCGCTTGCCGTGACTGATGAAACTCTCGGGAGCTGGCACAGCAATGTAGACGATGGCTACGCCGGGCAGCTGCTGCTGCTGCTAAGCCAGGCGAGGATAATTCCATTCGCTGATTGGGATGAGGCACACTGGAGCAACAATAGAGCTGTGCACCGCCAGCAATTTTGGACGGATGATTTGTGGGCGTGGGCATTTGAGTATTGAAATGAACTCCATTCGTTTTATGGCCCAGTTCCAGCAACTGTTTGGCTTTGGCCTCCTGCGCCTGCCGATGATTCCGTATATACTCGTAGGTGGTCAGGCCCAAAAACGAGATATAAATGTGGAAGAAGCACAAATGTAACAACAGACCTGCACTTATGGCAGCAAGTAATCCCAGCACACCCAGCAGCAGCAAATAGATGGTCTCGTGGAGTCCAATGCCGGCAACTAAAGGTGTTAAAGTGTGATTTGTTAGAGGCACAGTTGTTGTTGTGGTTGTTGATGATGTCGTAGTGTTTGCCTCATTTGTGCTGCTCTCCACGAGCAAAGCCGTAAAGTTATCCAGCAGCGTGGGCAACGTTGTCAAATTGAGCTGCAAATTCCGCTGATCCTGCTCCAGCTGACCAGCCAGCTCCGACTCCTCCTCCAAGAGCAACATGCTGCCATTGCTCAGACTCAAGGTTAGATTGATATAATCCGTTGAGCCAAATGCGCCATCCAATTCACTCGAACCGTGCTGACACCAATAGAAACTCAACCAGTCCGGTTGCACGTAGTACAGCACAATTTGGCCAATTACAGCGGCCACAATGACCAGAGTGGCCACAACGGCACTGACGACACACATCAGGAATGCGACATAGTTGCGGGAGCCGATGCAATGATTCAGCCACTTACAATGATGATCAAATTTACCCACACACTTGTTGCACACCGAACAGTGTTTCGTTCGAGGAGTTGTTGTCCTTATATTACATAGATGACACCTTCCGTTCTCGATGACGTGTCCGTGTTTGCTGCGATCGAATTCGGGCACGATGCGATCGTTGCGATGCACACGCCTCAATTCCTTATCTGCCGGATCTGTGAGCAGCGCCGTCAAATGGGCAACAATATGCACCACATACAGGCCAGAGATTAGGCCATACAATGGGCCCTGGATGGGCGCATGAAAGGCGGGTATCAACAGCCAATAGCTGGCAATGCCAAAGAGCACCAGGACCAGCCAACCAAACAGCTGGAGTGGATGCAGTGGTAACTGCAAGCCGTGCAAACGACGACCACGTCGATGTTGCACATCAGCTATATTATTCTGATAGCTAATCAGTTGACTGAACGAGCATTGAAATCGACGTGATTTCTTTGCTGCAACAGGAGTTGTTCCGGGCGAAAGTCCTGCTCCTGTTCCTGTTCCTGCTTCTACTCCCTCTTGAATTGCTGCCTGTGTTGCTGTTGTGGTTGTTTTTGTATAGCACTTGATGGGCTCGTCCTGTGAATTGTCCGTTAGGCTGGCAGTGCTAATTGTTATTATATGATCTGAGGATTGCTGTTGTTGCTGCTGTTGTTGTCTCTGTTGCTGCTGCTGTTCTTGCTGTTGCTGTTGCTGCTCTTTCTGCTGCTGTTGCTTCAGTTGTGCAACTGGCGTCGCTTTGGGCGCGTTGCGCATGTTGTTATTGCTAGTGTTGATAAGCGGTTTAATGTTGATAATGATAATGATGATATTGATGTGTTGCGAAATGTTTGCAATTGCTGGCACATTACAGCTGTTTTTTTTTAAATATTATTTCTATTTAATGTTGCGTTTTATGTAATCCTTTGTCGGTTTTGTATTTATCTTTGTTGTCTGTTGTGGTTTTTTTTTATGTTTTCTCTTTCCGTAGTTAACAATCAGTATAGGTAATATTTTGAAAAATACATGGCTTGGGGGTGGTGCTCTTTATGGGGTCGTTTCAACTGGCGCTGCCACCCCCATTTAAACAAGGACTCTTTGCTCTATGATTTCCCTTTTGCTGCTGCTTCTATGTTGTTTTTTTACGTATTTGTTTGGTTCCCACACACAAACACTCACACACAGACACACACGCACGCACAAAGAGAGCAGCAGTAATTGTATTTGTAGAGAGGCAAATGGAACGGAAAACCACGCAATGACGACGCAAATGGAAAGTCTTAGCGAACCAACTCGCCGGACGAACGCGAAGCAACTGAGCAAATGAGCTGCTGCTGCTTATGAAAGCTCTCTGGCTGACAAAATGTCTGCACAATTGAAAGCACACACACAACGGCAACTACGAAGTTGAAAGCGAAAAGCTTTCGCGCAATTGAATGCCAAGCCAAATGTAGCGGAGTTTGAGAGAGTGTATAAAGAGTGGGTGGCGAGAGAGAGAGAGAGAGAGACAGTGTGTGGAGTGAGTTGGAGAGAGCCCCATGTCACAGCTGTCTGGTTTGCCGGTAAAGCGTTTTTTTTGGACTTAAAGACCGGCCTGGGTTGTCAAAGAAAAAAAAACACATAAGGACCAACTATTCAATCTCAATATGTGTGTGTATTGCTTTGGGGGTAGATTTGGGAGTCGCTGCTGGGGCACAGCTGGAGTAAGTGGATAACATTGCTCATAACACATGCAGAGATGAGCATGTTAATATGTGTAAACAATGTGTAAAGTATACAAGCTAATTTAAAGAAAACAAACTTAAAAAGCCGAATAGAAAGGCTTAACAAATTAACAACATCTGGTGACAACTACTATTTTTATGTGCATTTGACAATAAACAGCTGTTGAAAATCATTGCTTGAGTCAGTGTACAAATTCAGCCCAAATCGTATTAAAAAATGCTGAATAAGAAATATACGCGACTAGGAAATACCTTAAAATGGCTATTTACGTGATCCTAATGAGATTTTTAGCATACATTTGAACGGTCTATACGGTCTGGGCAGAATACTAATCATTTTATTCTTATCAATCATTTTCTAATAGTATCCTTAAAAAATATATAAATAAATAAGAATTATATTATTTTTGGTGCATATTAATCATTTTATGCATTTCTCTCGTTTTCAAATAATATACCTATAATAAATTATAATAAACGTAGGCCCACACTTTTGCACATTTTTTAATTACAGGGTATATACAACAAATAAACATTTTTTAATAAAAGTTTTAAGTACCCCCAAGAAGAACACGAATCACGTACGCATCTCTGATTTACCTGGCAAACAGGAAGTAACTATTACATAACGGTAACGGTAAATGGGTCAGGTTAGGGAAGAACTTATCACCACAGATTGGCACGCACCTTTCCCTTTTCTTTTTTTTAATGGATTTTTTTGCGTCTTCTTTTTGTAGGCATCATTTTTTATTTATATCAGGCAATGAGGCGCGGTGTGTGAATAAGCGAGAGAGACAGAGAGAAAGAGAGAGAGAGCGAGAGGGGGAGAGAAAGAGACTATGTTAGCTGAAATGGAAAGCACACTCGAGAGCATATTTGGAGCACGTACAATCGAAACACATAGCAGAGCAAGTACTACTTATTACCTTCAACACTTGATGTGATTTTATTTCCATGGCACCCGTGAGATAAATATGCCCATAGACAAGCCGACGCCAAAACTGAATAATATTTATATGCTACTGTCGATTCTTCTATCTTTGCTAGTCAATGCGGCCGACTTATATAAGAGACCCAGATATATAAATATATTCTGCTACTTAGGCAATCTCAAATCAAGCGCGTCGAATGGCAGCCAGGACTGGCCAGAATGAAATGCCTCTTTGCTGTTAGGTCAAATACGTCGTAAAATTTGGAACGCAAATTACCAAAAAACAGGCACACACACACACACACACAAGTCTCTATCGATAAATTTATATGAAATAGACCTTGTTTATTTGTCATGAGATAAAATGTAAGCGGGCGTAATTGGCAGTAAAATGTTTGTGGATGCTGTAAATAAATAAAATAGTTTAGGACATAGAAAAGGTCTTAAATAGCTGAAATATCTACACTAAAAACTAAAAATAACAGATAATGTTATTAAATAAATTCATATGCCCTTTTTACAGATTGTTAATATAGAATCCCAAATAATTGAAAAGCTGATAAACAAATCAGCTCCAATCAAGGAAAACTATTATTATTTAAATAAATAAAAGATATAAATAACATAGAAATCCAAATAATCGAAAAGTTTACAAGCTCACCAAAAACAATTAAGTTAAATAGTTTTATCAATTCACCAATTTTTCCTTTTACCAAAAGTTCAATTGAATTATGGTTGAAATAAATTGCATTTTCTGTTGGTTCCGGTTCAATGTGCCCGCTATGACAACGATGACAACAAGAACAAAGGCCCTTAGAGAATGAGATGAGAGGCAACTAATAAAGTGACAACAAGAAAAGCTTTGATAAGCAGCAAAAGAGCCACATCAAAACGAAAACAACAATAAACAAACAAAACAACAAGTAAAAAGGACAAACGGAAGCTGGCAGCTTTCAATTTGAGAAGCACTCTTGCGAGCAACAGAGAGAGAGTGAAAAGAGAGCGAGAGAGTAAAGCTCTCAATAGCAGACGAGAGAGTGAAAAAAAGCTGTCACAGTAGGCGACGCACAGTGGTTCGAGCATAGTAAACTCAAACACATTACTTTTTCAACTAAGATGAACAAAGCTAAAAAAAAACATAGTTGTACATTTCTGTAATTCGTTTCGTGTAAATGTTTTGTTTGTAAAACTTGTAAAAGTACAAAATTGCCTCAATATATTAAGGCCAAACATGATTGATATATTATCGTTGCCGCGTCGCAACAATGTGACCAGCCAGAGCAACAAGCACCAGGCCAGTTATAAGTCTGGTTTGCCCATAAACAGTTTGCCCGGCTGGGAATTAATACCGCTCAACTGTAAACTGCCCATGCTCAAGTGTCCTGGTAATCAGGTGATATTTTCAAAGGATAAAATCGGCAATACGGTAACTATTTGACAATTGTTCAGAAAAGTAAGAGAATATTCCTAATAGCGATCTCGTCTCCAACTTTCAGTTCAAATGCAGCATGCAGGATTTTGATTCATCTGTAACCGTACACATTCCGGAATATAATCCGTTGCACGATTCCAATTTAAAGACCTTCTATTCGAATGAGCGCAATTTGAAGCGACTGCGCGAGAATGGTGAGATCACCGATGAGAATGAGGTTATCTGCAATCTAAAGGATTTTAATCAGTATCGCGAGGATCTGCACAAATCACAGTTGTACTATGTGCTTCAGGCATACAGACAACGTGAGACGGAACGTCAGGATCGCCTCCTGATCGCAAATGCGGAGGGCATCTCGCGACGGGATCATATGGAGATGGGCGCTCGTCATCACAATCAGGAGGAGGTGCTGGCACGGAAGCAACGACTGGAGGAGGAACGTCATGATAGGAAGATGCGCATCTATAACATCACAGAGGAGCGTTTCAAGAAACTGGAGGCCATGACAGCGATGCAACAAATGTTGCTCGAGCATCGCAAGATGTTGACCAATATGCGGATGAAGGCGCACATCAGTTTGCACCAGGATCTGCAGCGCAAGCATCTTATCAAGCTGAAGAAACTGTTCCAGTTCAAGAAGGATCGCTACAACAAGAATATGCGCAATTTGCACAAGCAGCGATTGATGAAGCATACCGAGGGACAGATTCAGTCGTGGCACAAGCGTCTCAATGAGCGCATTGCACATCAGCGAAGGATCGAAGTGCTCCTCATGGATGTGCAACATGAGCGGGAACATTTCATTGCTAATCACATCAAGAAGTACCAGGAGAAATGGCAACGCATACAGGACGAGATCAAGAATCGGGGTCATCAGACGAAAATCGCTCGCCAGCCCAAGCGACACAATCAGAAGAAGAAGAAGAAGCCGAGGTGTGTGCAGCCCTCATTCTGTGATGAGTATCAGGAGAGCTTTGAAGGTCTCCTCGACAGCGAACTGTGCTATGCCCTGAATGCAGCCATCGCCTTGGATGGCCATACCCCCGTCACCTTTGCGCCCAACGATCCCATTTACAAGGCCGCCCAGTATATCCTCAATCACATCTTGCAGGGCTTCAACGTCGATCTCAGCGAAGATGAGTGCGCCATCAGCATTTTGTCCTCGCGCATCATGAACTTCATTTGCGATGCCAAGAAATATGTCAACTATGTGAGTATTTAACAGTGGAAGGTATATGGTGTACATATATTCCGGCTGTGTTGAAATTGGGGTGCTAGGAAATCGATAGCATTTATAATCGTATGTCGATAAGAATTTCTGAATTTTCAGAGATAAGCTAGCTCCTTCAAAGATGGGCATATACATTTTCAGAACACAAAATTTTAGAGACATTACAAATTTATCGGAGATACTTCCTTTTCCTGCAACATAAATCTCCACAAATTTAGTAATCCTTCCTCCTCTATAACAACCCTCCTGCAGAAAGCCATACAGATAATTGGCTTTGCGCGGCATAATAAGGCCATGGAGCTGCCGTCATCATCGCCAATGAAGAACACGCTGGCAACGAAAAATCAATCCCGGGTCTCGCATGTCTCATTCAGTGGCGTCGCTAGCACCATTGGCATGAGCAGCTATGAGATTCATCCGTTTGTCGATGTGCGCACCTGCACAGATCGACGACCGACGCCGGCGGGTTCGTTGGCCTCTCTCATTGTCGGCCAGGTGGGCGAACAGGAGGTACATGAGAAGCAACATTTGCCACACATGAATCGCAACGAAATCGTATTCATCGAACACTATTTGGTGAAGTTCAAGCGAGAAATGTTTGTGAGATTGGATAAGCAGGTTTTTGCCGCCATTCAGTGTCACTTTGAGAATCGCTTTATGGAGGTGCGCGAGGAGTTGCTCGAACTGGACAAAGATTTCCTCTACAATCAGATTGCGATTGGTATTCTGAGTTTCGCTGTGAATCCGTTGAACTATGAGACGGCTTTGATGCTGACCGTGAGTGTTTTGTCCAACGAGATCATTTGGGAATTGCAGAATACGCTGCTCAAGCCGGGCGTCGAGCCACGTGGACAGACGCATCCAACGAGCTGTGGCAGCGATGTTGAACGGGAACAGCGTGCCTTCTGCTCAAGTTAGTTTTTGTTTTAGCTTATGAGTTTTGTGTGTTTCACCCAATTCCAAATCATTCCCCCAGTTTAGCTTACAGCGCATAGAGAATCCACAGGTCTAGCGCACAAAATTCTTGTGAAAAGCAATGTAATTAAACTTACTTGTATATATTAAACTGTTGTTCGTCTTCTATGCCTTTTGTTGTTGCTCTACAGAATTGCACTTTATTTATTATCCAAATAATATGCGGCTATCCAATCCAATTTTGCTGCGTAAACACCAAACAATCTGCAGCATGGCAAGCAACAGCTGTGTGGCTGTGTGCCAGGGCTACTGCATTCACAATAGTTGAAACACTCACAAATATGCGTGCATTCCTACAGTGTATGCGCGCGAATTCAAAAGATTTTAAAAATATTTGCAAGATGTGTGTTTCACCCAATTCCAAATCACTCGTCCAGTTTAGCTTAAGGCATATAGAATCCACTGGTTTTGTCTTCTTGCCTTTATATGCAGGTTGTATGCCGCAATCCAATCCTATTTGGCTGTGAAAACAGCAGCATAGCAAGCAACAGCTGTGTGCCAGGGCTACTGGGTTCTCATTCACAACAGTTATATGCTACGCATGCATTGCCACCCTGGTTAGAATCGAAAATGCGCGTAGTTCACGATTAAAAAACATTACACATTTATTCTAATTAAAGAAAAAACATCATAAAAAGTCCATCGTGATCTTCACAAAATTTTCATCGTCTTAGCTTTCGTACAATAATCTTAAAACTTAATACCTACAACACTATTTCTGAATGCGGTCTATATACAACTCCAAACTTGTATGCAGACTAGAAACTTATTTGGGAAAATTGAATGGTGCTGCATAGGGATACATCATTGGATTGTAATGGGAGCCGGCTGCTAGCAGTGGAAATGGAAATGCAGCTGCCGGTGGCATATTTGGCGCCTGCTTGGTGGAAGAACGCTTCCTTTTCGTTTTGCTCAACGCTGGCTTGGGATCACTGCTTGATTCACTCTCGCTGTCACTCTCGCTAATTGCATCTGCATCAGCCTCATCATCATCATCGTCATCATCCTCCTCATCATCATCATCGCTATCGTGCTTTTCAATTTTAAGTTTCTTTTTGGGAGTTTTCTTCGATTTCTTAATCAACGTACGTTGTTTATCTTTTTTGGACTTGACGGCAGGAGGAGTTGGTTGAGAAATCGCTGGCGTTGTGCTGACCACTCCGGCGGGAAATGCAAAACGCTTATCCACATTGAAGACGGTCAATTGTTGCATGGTAAACTCCATGAATGCCTGCAAAGCTATGCTTAAATTGGGAGGATTCGGGCAGTTCTTGAGACTATGATAGGATGCCGAACAGTTCCGGCAGATCATCTGGCACTCGAAGGAAGTGTGTCCCTGTGAAAGGAAAGGGAAGATTTTTAGCAGCGAGCTGAGGATTAACTAAAAAAACTCACCTTTTTATCGCATATGCCACATGGATGGTTCGCCTTCTCCTTGCTTTTGACGGACTTTTGCTCTTCGACCCCGCTGCTTGGGTCCTCCTCATCGTCTACATCTCGCTCATCCTCGTCGGGTATAGTGAATTTCCGTCTCTCTTTGCCCAGGCAAACGACGTCCTCTTCGGAGGCGTGTTTCTTCAGCGTTTTCGCAGACTTGGGAGTTGATTCCTTGGCCACCGTTTGGACCTTAACTGGCGAGGGTGTATCATCGTCGGATTCCTCTTCGGAGGAGGAGGATGAGGGGGCAGGTGGCTTAGCTGCGATCTCACTCTTAACCTTTGCCTTGTGCACAATGGCAGCTTCTCTTTTTCTAACCACCTCGCCAGCTTCGACACTCTCATCAGAGCTGCTCGAGGAGCTGTCCGCGCTACTCTCTGCTGGCTTTGCCGGTTTTGTTTTGGGCGACGGATCTTTCTTTTCCTTCTTTATGTTGGCTGCATTGATGAAGGTAGGAGGCTGAGTAGCAGCAGCAGCTGGTTTCTCAACTACCGCCGTCGCCTCGACGACAGGCATTACAATTGCAGGCGCGGCTTCAGTGGGTGGCTCTCCAGCGACTGGTGGAGCAATTGTTTGTTCTACAGAACCTGTTGCGCTCTGCTCTTTGCCCAGTTGCCCGTTGTCGAAGTAGAACAAATCATTTGGCATTGCGCCATCATTGTACCAGGGTCCAGCTGCACCTGCTCCATTGTTGCGACCACCGCGACCGACGCCTCGTCGACCACCTTTATCATTGCTACTGCCTTTGCCATTTCTACCAAATTTATCATTTCTGCGTCCTTTATTTCCTCTTTGTTCATGTTTTCGATTATCCCGATGATTATTATCTTGAAATCGGCGTTGACTTAATTGCTGTCGATTCGGATACGATTGCAGCTGATTTGGATCTCGGAATTTCTCAAAACTCTCATCGCCGCCGCCGACTCCTCCTCCGCATCCTCCACGTCCTGCATTACGATTAAAATTATCACTCGGATTGTGTCGTTTGCCGGCCCAGTTTCCATTCGCTTGATTGCTGTTGTTATTCCCAAAATGATAGTCATTGGCGCCGGAGTTATTTTGCCAATTGCCGCTGGGACGTCTTTCTCTGCCGCCTTGCATCTTTTCTTGTAGGCAAACCGTCGCAGCTCAAAAAAAAACTCGAACAAACCAAAACCGCTTGCACGTGTTAAAGAAGTATCGATGCTCGGCAGGTCAATATCGACACTATTGATACCTAACAATTAACATCGTTAGTAAATTAGTAATCGAAAAGCACGTGCGATATATCGATTAGTTTATATGTGTGAAAAAACAATTAAGCTGAATTAAATATGTAGCCAAATTGCATCTTAAGTACTATAAAACCCATATATACTTTCAATATTCACGTACTCAAAAAACAACATTGCCAAAAATATATTACACCCAGTATAAAATATATCAGCCAATCGCTTAACATCGATACAACGATAACATTAGCGCTCAGCGTGTTGTTTACATTTTCTGCTGCCATCGAAATATTTAACAAAATGTTTCATTCAGATGTTAAAAGGCTAAATAATAGACATAAAAGAGATGTGGCTGATCGCTCCAAGAATTGGGGTAAGAAGAAGTTTACACCGAATGCATTTCGACGCACCGAAGCAGAGCCTGTTCCCGAAGAGACTTCGCAGCCGTGGAATCATGTGAAGAATGACATTTTGGATGGCGAACACGAAGAGCGCAACGCGGAACGCTTCGATATGAACAGCGCGCAGGCCAAGGAATTTCGCAGGCAACGCGAACAAAATCACAGACGCAACATAATCGAAACAAGTCGCAACACAAAAACCAAATGGGAAAGTTTTGATGATGACAACAACGCTGCTGAAACATCCGAATCCAAGACAAACCCAGGCAAAAAGAACTATAAAGAAACCATGACCAGCAAGACGAAAAGATCGATTATGGAAAATCCTCAAAATATGGACTTTACGCAACGCAATTATCTACGCAGAAAATTAACCAAAGCGGTAATGACTCAAAAAAATGATAGCTTAAATGCAGCCATTCAGGATATGAAGAGAAACGCTTGCAAAGTGCACAAAGATCAAATCCAACCTCTTAACAAGAACAATAAATTTCGCAATAACTAAAAGTAAAAAAAAGATATAACAAAACAATTGTGATTTTTGTTTTCTTTTTTTTGGACAAATCAGAATGTATACACAACATAAGTACACTACACACAATTTATGTAAATCTCATCTTAAATATAGGGGGAGTATATAGTGAATGGGGATCTGTAAAATAATATAAATATGTAAACTAAACAGTATGAGACATGAGACATCATCGCTATCATCTCCGCATCCATCAGGCATCCGCAACGTATCTCAACCATTTGCAGCATTTGCCAGTTTGGCGATGAGCTGATTGTATTTACTGTTGCCGGTTACACACTTTTTGGAGTTGCGCGCCTGTTCCGGTGAATTTTGTAGAAAATATATGACGATAAATTCGAGTGTTTGATTGGCTTCCTTGGGGTACATCATGTTGAAGGTATAATAGTAGCAAAGCAATTGGGCAACAATATCTGGCAAATCCACATCGCTGGCAGCAAACGTGCTCATTATCTGTCCCTCAATGTAGACCATTGCCTCTATTTGGGTGGCTTCAGTGACGCCGCTGACGCCGCCGGATGATGTTGGTGTATCTGGAAAATAAAGAGATTTTAGTTAAAGATTTTAAATTATATATAAAAAGAATTCTTATATTTAAATAATTTGATACTTGCTACACAATGTGGTTTTAATACACTCCTAAAATAGTCGACCAAAATGTTGGTAAATCGCCATATTTTTAAAGCCAAGAGCAACTCATCTTACTATTCAGAAAGTAAATTTCTAAAATTTATGCATGTAGCTTCTCTAATAGAATATAGTTAGAGTCCGGTGTTTGGATATTCACTATATGTTACTGAGATCCAATGAGATCAACTCCGTAATGTGTACAGTTAGCTCAATATTACTAAATTTCTGCAAGCAAACTTCACGCAGAATTTAGATAGTGAAAAAGAAGCGAACCGAATCCTCATGAAAAAAAAAACACTATACTATATGGGAACATAGATGGCTTCCCTTTTAATCTTCTAAGTATTTCACAACAACCTAAAGAAAGATAAATCGTTCGTTACTCACTGACTAGAGCCACCCAAGGCGCATTGGTTGGGTTGATTTGCTGGACATCTTTTGGCAATGCGCCATTGTCGAGTTTCATGAATATGTAGTCGGGATCCTCGTTAAAATGGTATGCCAGTCCGCGGACAACATTCGCATTGTTCTCCTCCAAATCGTTGATTTTCTTATTTTTGGACGTCTTGAAGAATTTAAAGATGCGATCTCGTTCGCTGGCAAAGCGTTTCTCGAGCACTCGGGGATCAATGGACATGAGCAGCTCAAAGTGCTGATAGAGCAGATCCTTGTTAAAGATATACGGCCAATTATCCTTGATGGCCGTAATATCTGGAATCTTTTCGCTATTATTGAAGAATTCCCGTTGTAATGGAAAGCATTCCTTCATATATTCGGCTATGGTGGCTATGTCAACAGTGGAGCTGCCACGATAACTGGCAATCAGCAGTTCCTTCTTGTGCTCCAGATCACGATTGAGGGCAACAGATTTGGCATTCCCATTGGCCGCATGTGGAGCCGATGATTTGCGTTTCTTGGTGCTCAGACTGCTGCTGCTGGTGATGTGCAGATCCGATGTGCCCGACGAGCTGGCACGTTTCTGTGGCCGATTCAGTGCATTGTTCCGATTGATCATCTTCGAGATGAGCGATTGGGGCGTCGTCGCAATCTGTTGTCCCTCACGATCCTTTTCCAGCAACGATTCCGGATACTTTTCGGCCGCCTGCTGGGCAACCTCACGAAACACCCTGGTCGGTATGTGAGCCGAGCGTTCTCTCAATGCATCCACCAGCAGATTGGCGAGCGAATTGAGTCGTTTGCCTAAACTGGTTTTATTGCGCAATAGTCTCATAATATCATTGGGTACCTTTGACCAAGGTATCGAGAAGTCTTTAAACAATGCCGTCGATGTCTTTGAATTGCTCGGCGTTATGCTGGCCAGGGAAAGCGTCTCATCGTTCGACACCGTCGAATCATTGGCATTCGACACAAAGCTGGGATCAATGGAGCTGCCAGCGCGATCGGAACGATTTAGCGGCGATGGTGGAGGTAGTATTATATATTCATCACTTTCGGCTAACAGCATTAACAGTATTTTCTCCTTGGCCGCAAAGAGGAGCACCTCATCCTCGCAGATCTCACAGCCATTGCTCTCGAGCACAATGGTGCTGCCCAACAAGCCGTATTTGTGTGCTAAGATGATGAAAATAAATATTTTAGTTGATTTTGGGAATATGAGAATACAGTTTGCGCTGGGATATGCAAACATTTTGATTTTAATAAAAACAATTTCAAATAAATACTTTACAAATTTAATGAATGCAATGTTTTCCAGGTATCTAATAAATATGTATATATAAATATTGAAATAAATGTATATTTAAAAAACTCAAATTTTTGAGCTTGAAAAACTATATATATTTAAAAAAATAAGTCAAATTTTTAAGTTCGTACAGCATTTCCCCGAAAAATGAATTTGAGGAAACCCCAGCGTAGCACACATACCTTTTTCTATAACATCCTTTCTGCTGGGCAAGGACATGAATGTCTTTTTGTTCTTTCGATCGGCGCTGCATATTGTAATTAATACCTTTTCAGTGGGCAAATCGCATTTCAATTTCGTTTTTTGCGCTTCGAGCACTTTGCCAGTCTCGGTGATATTGGAATGCGTTTCTAAAGACCAAAAAAAAAACAAAGCGAAAATAAACAAACCATGTTAGATCAAATAACAATATTGTGAACACACACATACACACACACGCACACACACACGCACACACACACGCACACACACACGCACACACACTAATATTTAGTAATCAAAAGCCGTCGTTTATACGTACCGGAGCCCGGAGTCGCTGTCGATGTTTCAGATTTTTTTGCTGCTGTTTGTACACCATTTTCGTTTGGCGCAGCGGCCGCCGGGGCCGGGGGTTGAGTTAATTGTTTGTTTGATTCGTTTGTAGCGTGCAGCGCGACAGCTGGTGCAGCATCCATGGCTACCAATTGATTGGCCCTTTGATTTCAACAAATTGCACAAAGTGTTTGTGTTTTAAATCAAGCCAGCTTCGTTTTTATAATGCCCGTGTATAAATTTGCACAAGCCAAACTATGGCCAGGGATGTTAAAACAAACGCCACACATCGATATATTTTCCGCTACTTGTGTTTAGCTATCGTACCCACCATCGATATACACACTTGTCGATAGTCACATCTTCGATAGTCTGAGTGCCTGGTGGGTGGTCTTTGCTGCGACAAATCAAACAACGCTCATTTGTTGCTCTACTGCTCTGTTAGCGGTGTATTTAATTTTCATTTTCATTTTCATTTTGTTACTTCATTTCTTTCATTTTTTTCTGAATGAATTAAAAATCAGTGTTGTTTAAAAAACAACGCATTGCTAGCAAAACAGCTACAAAATGCATTGATTACGATTTATTGTGGCGAACCAACAAGGCCCGATTGCGTTGGAAATTAATATTCAACAAAGGCTGCGTTTAATACTATAATATTATTTATAGGAAATATCGCTAGTGAGGCAATCACCACACAAAATGCCAACGTAAGTATGCAGAAGGCAGTTGCCAATATATATGCAAATACCTGACTATGCATGAAATTAAATTAAAATCTTCACTAGGAGCATTTTTACACTTTGTTACCTGTTGCTGGCCGGATTCTCAACGGCGAGCCATGCGAATCTCGATTCCACAAAATACAAAACGAGGACAACATCAGTATCATCAGCAGCTGCAGCAACTGCCAATTCCTCCACACAAGTGGATTTGGAGCCCATCAATGGCACTACAAATTATCGACTATATGGTAAAAAGGGCAAGGACGACAAGCCGTGGTTCGATGGCCTCGACAGTAGGCATATTCAATGTGTGCGTCGCGGTCGCTGCCTGGAGGTGAATAGCACCCACAACACTTGCTTTGGCTCCAAGCTGCCCTATGCATACACCAGTCTGGGACTCACCGATTATCGCAAGGAGCGAGAACTGGACGAAGTCCTGAGCAGTTATTATGCCCTGCGACATGTGCCCAAATGCTGGGCGGTCATCCAGGTGAAAAAAAGATCTCGGTTTTAAAGAAACCCACATTTATTGCCAATCCATAATAATGATGTGTTCCCTTTTGCAGCCATTTTTGTGCGCCGTTTTCAAGCCGAAGTGCGAAGAGATTGATGGTCAGGATATGGTCTACCTGCCTTCCTATGAAATGTGCAAGATTACGCTTGAGCCGTGCCGTGTGCTTTATAATACCACATTTTTTCCAAAATTTCTTCGCTGCAATGAAACGTTGTTTCCCATGAAATGCAGTAATGATGCACGTGAAATGAAATTCAATGTAACTGGTCGATGTATGCCGCCTTTGGTGCCGGCTGATAATGCGGCCAGTTATTATCCGGGCATTGAGGGTTGTGGTGTGCAGTGCAAGGACCCCTTGTATACGGACGATGAGCATCGGCAGATACACAAACTAATCGGCTATGGCGGCAGCATTTGTCTGCTCTCCAATCTGTTTGTGGTCGCCACATTTCTCATCGACTGGCAGAATGCCAACAAATATCCCGCTGTGATCGTTTTCTACATCAATCTCTGCTTTCTTATCTCCTGTTTTGGGTGAGTAGCGAAAAAGAGCGTACAAAATGTTGGGTGCACTTTATAAATTGTATTATTTAATAATTGTTTATTATTGCGTAGCCAAGATAAGCGAATATCTTTGTTTAATGCAATTTACTTTTATAGTTAAAAATGTCGGTTAAATTCATAAATTATATTATGAAATATTGGTTTATTATAGTAGCCAAACGAGCGTGCTTAATGCACTTTATTTTGATAGATAAAAATGTTAATTAAGTTTGTCAATCGTATTGCTTATTATAGTATCCAAAGTAGGCGAATAATTTCTTTTTATGCATTTTTTTTTATGGTTAAATTTTACGTTTTATTGTTTAATAATTTTTCATTAGACGTGACATGACTAACAATTAAAATGTGAACAGTTAAGTGTTTAAATAATATATATTTTTGGATTAAAATGCTTATAATTTGCAGGTGGTTGGTGCAATTTACATCCGGATCTCGGGAGGATATTGTCTGTCGCAAGGATGGCACGCTGCGTCACTCGGAACCGACAGCCGGCGAGAATCTCTCCTGCATTGTGATCTTTGTGCTCGTCTATTATTTTCTAACTGCCGGCATGGTGTGGTTTGTGTTCCTCACCTATGCCTGGCACTGGCGTGCCATGGGTCATGTTCAGGATCGCATCGATAAGAAGGGATCGTATTTTCATCTGATTGCCTGGTCTCTGCCACTGGTGCTGACCATAACGACAATGGCGCTCAGCGAGGTGGATGGTAATGGAATTGTGGGCATCTGTTTTGTTGGCTACATCAATCACGGGATGCGAGCCGCTTTGCTACTCGGTCCACTCTGTGGCGTCATACTCATTGGCGGCTATTTCATCACACGCGGCATGATTATGCTTTTTGGGCTTAAGCACTTTGCTAATGATATCAAATCCACATCGGCCAGCAATAAAATCCATCTGATTATTATGCGAATGGGCGTCTGTGCGCTGTTATCGCTCATCTTTATACTCGTTGCAATTACGTGTCATGTGACAGAGTTTCGTCATTCTGCAGAGTGGGCCGAAAGTTTCAGGAATTATATCATGTGAGTTTGAAATATTTGTGAGAATATAATAATTGAATTAGACATTTAGGATTGCCATCAAGTTAACATATGTATTGGAAAGTTGAATTGAGGCGATGCATTCATATTTTGTTCTAAAGCTAATCGGTTTAAAGTTCTTGATCTTGATAGCATTCTTAGATTTATGCAGCATTCTGTTTTCTTATGGATTTTAGTTATATATTTTGTACAAAGAATAATCAATTTTAAATTAAAGTTTTATCTTTGTCATTCTTCAATTTCAGTTATATATTTTATACTAAAACTAATCGACTTAAAATGCGTGATTAATCTTCATGTCAGTCTTCGATTTATCCAGCATTCTATTTTCATATTGCTCTCATTTATATATTTTGCACTAGAACTAATCGACTTCACATTCTTCACATTAAGTTTCATATCGTTCTTCGATTTATCCACAATTCTGTTTGTTTTCTCTTTCAGTTGTCGCATCAGTTCCGTTTATGATGAGAACAGCGTGTGCAAGATTGATAATCGACCCAGTGTTGGTGTGCTGCAATTGCATCTGCTATGCCTGTTCAGCTCTGGCATTCTTATGTCTACTTGGTGTTGGACGCCATCGTCCATTGAGACCTGGAAACGCTACATAAAAAAGTAAGTTCTACAAGAAAATCATTGAATTAGTATATTCATTTTATTTTGTTTTTAGAAAGTGCGGCAAGGAGGTTGTCGAGGAGGTTAAAATGGCCAAGCACAAAGTCATAGCACAAACGTGGGCCAAGCGTAAAGTTTTCGTTGACAAAGGTAGATTGTCGATAACGCTACACAATACACACACCGATCCCGTCGGACTCAATTTCGATGTGAACGATTTGAATTCATCGGAGACGAATGCGATGAGCTCTACGTGGATGCATTATCTACCAAAATGTGTGATACGTCGCGCAGCTTTGACTGGCGTCACCACGGGCAACACAAACTCCTCCAGTCAGGGACAGCCGGCTGCCGGGCGCAAGAACTCCCTGGACTCGGAAATAAGTGTTAGTGTCCGACACGTTTCCGTTGAGTCGCGACGCAACTCTGTAGATTCCCAGGTGTCCGTCAAGATTGCCGAAATGAAGACGAAAGTCGCTTCGCGTTCACGTCACGGACATGGCAAACATGGCTATGCCTCCAGCAGCAACAAGCGCACCCAACGCCGCCGGGATTTCTATGCGGCGAGCAGCGGGCGTGCTAAATGCAACAGTGCTGGACGTGGCAGGCGTGAGAGCAGCACCTCCGTTGAATCTCAAGTGATTGCACTGAAGAAGACAACGTATCCGAATGCTAGTCACAAAGTGAACATGTTTGCCCAGAGCACCAAGAAGCACAATAGTCATACACGTCGCAATGCCGATCCGAGCATCATTACGGATTTCATACAGAAAAATGGACAGTTTATATTGCCATTTCTGCAGAATCAGGGCATGACAACCAGTTCGGATGAAGAGGATAATTCACGCACCTCGCTCAAAATACGAGATCTCAATGTGGTCGTTAAACAGGAGTTGAGCGATGACGATGATGATGATGTGGATGATGATGATGATTTGGACATTGCGGCACCCAAAATTCAAGAGTTGACCAATGGCAATGGAAATAAGGCAGCTGCCTTGGAGCATTTCTTTAAGCATATGCAAAAATCGAGCGAATCCCATCGACATTCACGCAATTCACAACGCAGTCGCAAATCACGCAAGGAGCACAGCAAACCACATCGACTCGAGTTGGACTTGGATATGGATTCGAATAGTGATTTTAAGCGGAATTATGCACGACAATTGGCCGCTGCAATGGATGTGAATGGGGATTCGTTGAGCTGCTCATCGGTGGAGTTGGATTTGCAATTGGGTGGCATGTTGCACAGTTCATATTCGGGCATGTCGACGGGCAAACCAAATTCACGGAACAGCAAAACCAGCTGTGATGTGGGCATCCAAGCGAATCCCTTTGAGATTGCCACGCACACGTTGCCCACCTATGGGAATGAGGAGTTGCAACAGGCAATGCGTCTACTAAATGCGGCAAGTCGACAACGCAACGAGCTAACCAATGAGGATGCCACCGAAATGCAATCGCTGCTCGGACATCCACGAGTAGGACACCACAAGGAGCCAACGCTGATGAGCGAATCGGATAAGCTCAAAATGTTGCTGCTGCCCTCGAAGTAGAGCTACGAATTTAAACAATTAAACGCATTTATATTTAAGTTTCTAAAACTCAAACCATCTTCCATTTCGATCAGTTAACGATTAGCAATAATAAGAATTTATGACCACAAATTCGAATACGAATATGAATACGAATACTCATTAGCACATAAGTTTGCAAAGTTTACAAGTACTAGAATATATATATATATATATGTTTTTCGATATATATATATGTGGCTATGTATAATGACTGTTTCCTTAACTTAGTTTGTATTTCATGTATGTTGTTTTAAATGTACAAATAAGACGCCATTTTTTTGGAGGCAGCTCAAAAACACAACGAAATGAAATCGAAATTTAAAAAATCAATTTGTGTTAAACAGTGCCTTAGAAAAAGTATTTTACAATTATACATTTTGTAACTAATAAAACGATTTTAAATCTGGCCTCATTTTTCATACATTTTTATTGTAAACATATCAAATCTCGGATCAAATTCAGCTCATTTTGAACGCTCGCAAATCGAGTTTGAATTTCTAGGCGTCTATTTTCTTCAGTCTAAAATTAGAGTAAACAAATACAGGAATATATTTACACTTAAATCGAGTACAGTGTAAACTTATCTTTTGATATTGTATTATTAGAACTTGCGAGGATATTCGAATTACTAAACTACTCTTCAATCTCATATGTGCCTTGCTACAAAATCCGATCTTTAATTATGAGCTTTTGAAATGTATTAAATAAACAAAAAAAATAACAGTGCACGGAAAATTTAAAGCTTTTGTTTCAGTTCGAATAATGCAACACATTTTACAGCACTATTTTTTAGTACATGTACTAATTGGCTACGGAAAGTTAAGTCTACTATTGTGGTTATAGTAAAAATTTAAAGCAAATAGGTGCATAAAATCGACTGAAAGGATTGACAGACATACACACATATGTATACATTTATATATAGATATATATGTATGTGTTATGTGACGTCATCCGATCTCAGTCCCTATGAGTTTATAGTATCCCCTGCTATGTTATAAAAATATCATTGGATATTGTAAACAGACAATTAATGCCTCAACATTTCCTCATAACGCAACTACCCTTGACTAGGGTCAGAGACATAAATAAAATAGAATTAAATTAGACATGCATCCGAAGTTTTCGTCTCTGTTCATGTTTACAATGCTGACCTTTGGCCTTGCGTGAGTTTAAAATTGTGCAGCAGGTAGCGACTAAAGAGGGGCGTTCTTTTGTTTTGTATTGTGATATGAGCAGGTAGAAAAGTAGAGGAACAGATGAACATTTACAATGAAAAGTTACACAAGACTGAGCGTTTGCTGTGCAGGTGAAAACAAGTACATTTAGCCCACCTGATTTCTATTGCAACGTCTTCTTCTTCATTTTTAATATATAAGGAGTGATATATATTAATTGACCAATCATAACAATACAGCTAGAGAGCAGCTGATTTATGTGCAAAGGGCTGCATTGCAAGCTCTCTTTGCTTGTAGACCACCCACAAAGCATCAAACTACGTGATAACTCTGATAATTGACTTTGTTTTCTTGCCAGTAGGTGGCGCCAATTAGCTACGCGTTATATTTAAGTAAAACTTTGATTTAATTTTAGATTCTCTTTTATTACTATAGAATTGAGTTTACATGTTAATCGCAGGTAATTAGATTGTTGTTTGCAGTGCTTTTTGTATTGATATGAATTATGCAATTAACAAATGCTTCAACATTAATTAATCGGAATAAAGAAAACATATACTCGAATTTTCAAATTGCAAAGTGCACAAATCTAATTTGAAGAACTACAAATGCTTTTCTTTTTGTTTAGTTTGTATTTGCTATTTAAGCCAATTACTATTAGGAGGAGCAATGCTATAATTTAATTGTTGTTAATTGAAAGTAGTTGTGTAAAATATATATATATATATATATATATACTCTAAGCAAATTCTTCAGCTTTGTGTATATATTTGATGCATTGAGTTTGCGATATTAACACACAGACTACTATTATTATTATTATTATTGACTATATAGACACCATCCATCATCCTACTTAGATTTGCGCTGTGACAGCTTCACCTCCTTGGCCCAAACCACATTGTTGATGAACTCGCCGAGGATATAAAGGCCCCCGGTGAAAGCGAGTACAGCTGCAAAGAATAGAATGCGACTTGGCAGCGATAAAACTTCTAGTACGGGATAGACCCAAACATTGGAAAAGTGCTTAATGATGTGTATCCACACCAAGTATCCGCCCATAAAGATGCTCAAGCCGGTGAGACCCTTACTGCGCTTGGGGTACGCACGATATGACGTAAACATCTCCAGCACAATGAAGACAACAATATTTGTGTGCAGCACATGATTCAGCCAACTAAAATGCGACAAGAATTTTAATTAGTAAATAATTGAAAAAGGAAACTGTCCATTTACTCACGAGGGAAATACGGCATCCAGCACCTTGGGAAAGACCAATTCACGATCGATTGCATACAGAGTCCAAAAAGTAATGCCCACATTGAGAGCAACTGGGAAAGCGAGCGTTGTCAGCAGCCAATCCTTGAATTTGCGTATAGCTGGCGGACGCTTTGGCACCAGCTCGTTGGTGCCCACAAAATCATTGATGAGCGACACTATATAATAAAGTGCCTGGATTAACTGCAAAAATAAAAATAAAAAATATATATATATACAATAGGGATGATTTTTTTTATATATTTTTAATGGGGGTTGAAGGGCTGTTTATTCAAGTGGAATATTATCACTGCAAAAACCCCAGTTGAAGCGTAACCGGTTATTGCCATTCGTGTTCATACTTGACTTGAATAATACATTGATAATCAAAATTCAATTGCTTGACGTTTATTTTCTTTCTGTCGCTTACCGCATCTAGAAATGTAAGATATTTGAATTTGCCACCAAACGGATGATAAATTATCTTTGCATTTGCATCATTTGATGTTGGAAATTCAACGTATTTATAATCATAATAGATGCCGTACGTAAATTGTACAGCTGCAGTTAGATGCAGCAGTGTTCGCAGCGCGCCAAAAACACTTTTAAAAAGCGTTTGTGTTGCAGCAGCGCCATTGGCCATCTTTTCTTTCTTTTCTTATTGATAACAACCAATTGATTTTTTCACTGTAACGAACAACGGCCGGCCAGTAATGAAGTGAAACTGAAGACAGTTTGCCGTTGCGGTGTGACCGTGATGCGAACATTATCGATTAACGATATGAGCCAAAGACTTTTATATCGATGCTTGGTCCAATTTTATGTATGTTTGGGCACATTGCATTAAGCTTAAGCGCATTTTTTCAAGCGAAATTTTTATTTGTTGATTGGATGAATAAAAACATTAAAGGAAGAAATAAAGTTTTGATAAGATTTTGTTCATATCCTTGTTACAATTTTTCTAATTAAACGAACAGAATTAAGCAAAATTGAAGTGGGTATTAATAATTTAAGCCACTTTTCACTTGCAGGTTTATGGGCAACTGCACCGTTATCACTCCACGCCCCTCCCCCATTGTTATGTCCTTGAATAATAATTCAATTTTTGCTCCGTACTCCAATAGAAGCTATTAATAATGATCAAATCTGATACTGACATGACAACTAATGAAAATTGGGTAAATTACAAATGCTACAGATAGTCTGGACTTTGACAAATCCGGATTTTCAAATTTGACTTTAAACACTTATGACGTCATCGAAAACATCTTTTGAAGGTAAACATGTATGAATGAATATGTGTATATATGTATGTATGAATATGTGTATATGCATAGCCATGTGTAACAAACAAAGCGATCAACAGAACGTGTTAACATTGTTTTTTTTTAACAGAACAGTGCTGCCAATCAACCGTGAGAACGCAAAATAACTTTTACCAATGTTGATGTTATTTTTGTTGCTTACCGCACAAATAAATGTTAAAAATTTAAATTTGCCAGCAAAGGGATGAAAAACCGAGCGTGGCATATCCAAATTGTGAAAGAAATAGACACCATAATTGAATTGAATGACAGCCGTCAGGTGTAGCATCAGTTGCACAGCACGATTAAAACCGGCGGACGTCGAGCCCTTGCTCTTGGACTTGGAAATTGCCATGTTTAGCACACTAAAGTCCACAACACACTGACGATGAGTTTGCCGGTTTTCAGCAGAGCGAGACACAATCTAAGCACATACATACATATATTATCTCCATGTGTGTGTGTGTGTGAGTGTGTGTGCGGCTGATAACAGAGCTTATCGTTTGGGACTAAAGTAACTTAAGATTGAGTTTCATATTTGTTTGTTTAAATTGCAAGCAGTATAAAAATATAAACTTTTGATGAATATGCAACTGCGACAGATTTTGACACTTGAACATAATCACTTTCACTTATAACACTTTTCACTTTTTCTTACATTTCTGCTGCTGCGTGTTAAACGAATAAATTCCAACTGCATCTGCGGCAACTAATTCGAACTATCGATTTAATGTCAAGCGTTGGCTGAAAGCCGCGAGAAGGTCAAGGGACAAGCACCACAAATATACATATATATATATATATACATATATATGACGCACAACTACAACACCACTCATTATCGCCATCCATTATGAGACTGTCACACAATAATCGATCCGTTTATTTTTGGACTTATCGCCGACATCATTATGCATTTGGGTAGAAATATTAAATAATTACAACTCTATGCATAAGAAGAAGTGAAAGCATTAACATTTAATAACTATAATTAAATAATCATATATACGAGTATATATATATATCAAATCTATATACCAAATCAAAATTTTAGACTTAATTTATGTATCTAGATTTTGTTTATTTTACTTCCTGTTTAGTAATTACAACTTTAATAAATCTTCACATAAAATATATATAATTTATTTCTTGGTTTCCTCCTCTATCTCGCTTTCAGCCTCCGAGGAGTCCAAATTGATTTCGGTCAACTCGTGTCCCTCAACGCTGTCGATCAAATCCAAATCACCCGTCTCCATTTTGATTGGATGTGATTGGATTTGTGGCTGTGCCACAGTTGATGGTGCCAACGAAGCCGCCGCTGCCTGCTCCTGTTCCTGCTCCTGCTCAAACATGGGATTATTGAAGGCACGTTCCCGCACCACACCGCTCTGCGCATCATAGCCAATGACAGCCAAATCCTCCACTCCACTGCCAGCCGAGCCTGTTCTGCCTCGCTCCGCTTGAGCTGCATTATCGAAACGATTGAAGAGCAAATTGCGACGCAAACGACGCAGATCCAAGTGAGGCCAACGCCATCTGCGCGGATCATGCAACCACTGCGGTAGGCGATTCAGATACGGATGCTGGGGCAAGAAATGTGCCAACATAATCAGTGCCACAAAACCCACCAGCACCAAACAGAAGAGGATGAGCAGCACTGAGCCAAAGCTCACATTGGGATTATAGGGATGACCAGCGTAGTGCAACATCAACTGTTGACTTTGCTGCTTCAGCAAGTTACTCTGATTGCGCAACGCAGACAAATGTTCCATGAACTTGACACTTCGTTCCGAGTAGCTGCCCCGCTCCAAGATGATGGCCTGTAAGTGATTGCCATACTGCGATGAGGAACCCACATAATTCACATGGAACTGCAACTCATCCGCCAAATCCTCCGCAGCAATTGTCTTGCTAATAAAGCTAGTCAGTGATTTCCTATCCTCCTCCATGCAGTGTTCACTGGGTATGGTCAAAGTGGCACCACAGACCAGGCAACAGGAGCCAAAGGGACGCAGTGGTGCCACACAATGTGGCACCGGACATTGCTGCTCCACATTGTGGCAGACGGGTTCGATGAGTTTCTCGAAATCCTTGTGACAGCCACACAGCTCACCACGATAGTACTCCACGAAGACAGCCTCCGCATTGTGAAACAACAGCTGTCCCAGATCTCTGCCCAACAGTTCCTGTAAATATCTCCTGGAAATGGAGGAGCCGGCCAAGATTAGCTGACCCAAGCGCAAAAATTGTACATTTTCCAAATCGAAGGCGAGTGCGCCACGATTGCTCGGGATGACCACATGCTCATCATCGCAGGGCACACGTTCCAGCTCCGGCATCAGCGAGGAGCTGCCGCTGGAGCTGCTGTCGGGCTGCATGCTCCAGCTGCCAGGATCAAACCATTTGCTCGTCTTGGGCGGCTTTAGATAAGCACGTCCTTTATCGTTGCCACAATCCGGATTAAGTCCCACGCCTGCTCTCAACTCTATAGTTGCATCCTCGGCCAGGAGTATGCCACCTTCACGTGGCAGCACAAAACCACCGATGGATAGCTGTGGTGGCAATGGCAACACGGCCGGATAATATTTGGGAAACACAATCAAATCGTGTGCACAGGGCAAATAATCATTTAGCCAGGCGGCAGGACTATCAATTGGGGCACCAGCACTGTGCCATCTGATCGTTGTTGTCGTCTCCGCCTCCAACAGATATAAAAGCAACCCGATTACAACTAGCAAAATTTGTTGCAACTGCAACATGTTGACTCTGTAAATGAACTGAAACCTAAACACGAGCGACATTTGCCATGGTTAATTTGGGGGCGTTGAGTTGCGTCAGTCAAGCAGATATTTACACTCAGCGAAATTTATCGACTTGAATTTCACAAAATCGCGCTTAATATTATTAAGTTTTTCTTGTTTTAAGTAATAATAAACAGCTAAGTATATTGGGGTTTAGCTGCTATCTGGTTTAGAGATGGCGTAGCTCAGTCTGAAGTCACTCGACGCTATTTCGAGTCCCCGTAAATCGTAAGTTTTTTGAAATTAAGCTATATGAATATATGACAAAGCTATGTAAAATGTTTTTAATATATGTGTGAAAACTAAAATGAAAAACAAATTTTATATATATGTGTAAAATTGTTAGAAAAATCTACCCTGAAAAAATTCAACCCTAGTTTTAAGACTGCCAACCAGAGAATAAAGAATTCAATTTCTGAAGTTAAGTGAAATTTTTTTCTGAATGTAGATAAATTTTTAAATTACAGCCTCTCAATGTGTGTCTTTATTTTGATCAACCCATTTGCACAGATAACTCAACAAAATGTTCGAAAAGTTAGTCAACTCTTCTCGGTATTTTTCACAGGCACTTTGCAAAGAAAATACAAACAAATTAATTATAAATATGGCCAGATAATATTGAAATAGTTTTTCGCTTGAAAGTCACACAAAATTCATTTGAAGGGTTTCAAAACTTCGTCAAAACTGAACAGATTTCAATATCACTTTTGATTTTAATTATGATTTGAGTTCCTGATTATTTCTCAATTATTTTGACATGTATATTACAAATATTATATAGAAATCATGTGGCATATGTATATAGATGCATTTTACTACTTGAATTTTGATATTAGATAATTGTCACATTTTTTGACTTCAGTCAATACCAATTATATAAAATTCTGTGTAAACTTTATAAACGAAACAAAATCTCTTGAAAAATACTCAGCTCGATAAATTCATTTAAAAAATGTTCAAGTAATAAATAGCACAAAATCCGCGATGAAAACGAACGTGTGCCTATCATGTCTACAAACATATATATATATATATATATGTATGTATATATATATATAACCAATTCCAGACATACACAAATACACATGTATATTGCACATACAAAGATTTATATAAATATCTCACGACTAGCCGATCATAGCTTATATAGTTTGAATCTTTTACAATGCAATTGTTTGGCGAACGCAAAAGCAAAAAACCAAAAAAAAAAAATAAGTAGAAAAAAGAAGCGTTTATTTTCATTGTGATTTGGCCGATATAAACAATTTAGTCCGGGAGGAGGGGAAAACTTGACGGAAGCAAACGACGAAGGAATGCCTAAACAACCGGATGGTAATGCTAATGGTGCGTGTGCATGACCCGACGAACCGACGATCCGACGACCATCTTGCTCCGACTTCCACATGAAAGACATTTGCTAAAAAAAAAAAGGAAAACACAAACCATCAAGAAACTAACAACAACAAAAAACCAACAAGATCTTCAACAAATAGTATCTATATTTGAATCCACGTGCTGATGATATGATTTGCGCACTTTCAAAGATCACTTTTTGCCAAGATCAAAGAATCTGCGGAGATTATAAATCAAGGGCGCCCAAGGTCGTCAAAGACAGAGCATTAACTAAAGCTAGATAAACTGTATAGATAAGGAAAAAAAGAAGCAAACTTGGAAAAAGGTTTTTGGCATTCAAAATACTTGAGCTCAAGTAGCGAAATGGGAAATATATAAATATATTTATTACATATATTTATACATATTCTATATATATGTGCATATACCAATATATATACCATATACCAAGAAGCAACTGGATGCGAAATTTATGTGTCAAAAATGTTGCGAAATAATCAAGAGCACAAATTATAAACACAATAAAAGCGGGTTTTAAATTAAGTTCACTTTTGACGAAGTTTGTAAGCGAAACAAACATTTTAAATGAATTCCAAACAAAAGAACAATTTCTAATTTAAAAGGCAATATAAATTAAGAAGCCAAATTACTTTTAAATAAATTGAATAGCTAATTTAGCTGCCGACATGTATATTTAATTTGTCGGTATTTTGTTTGCCAAGAGCCTGTGAAAAATACCGAGAATATTTGACGGCATGTAAATGAGTTGCCAGCAATTGTTTCTGCCACCCCTGCCACAGCTCCTGTTGCACCTACCCACCCCAGAAAACGGGTGCATATTTACATTCACGCCAAGAAGATAGTCTGGCATCGATCCGCGCCAATAAAATCAGCCACAAAGATGCTGGACGCCATTTGTTTCTTTTTTTTGTGGGGGGCCAATATGATTTGTGGTCAGCTTTACAATTCAATAAAGCCAACGAAATTTGCCAGAGAAAATAAATACGAGAAATTAAATGTAGCATTTCGCAACAGTGTGTGTAACAATTTGTAGCGACAACAAATGAATGGATAATTGGATGTATGGAATTTAAAATGTATCTGCAAGATACCATGTGCTGTTTACGGATGCAGCCAGGCGCAGTCAGGAAGGCAGCCAAGCAACCAGCACAGTTGTTGACCCCCAGATAAAAAAAAAAAACCAACGCAAGGCAAATAAACAAACAAACATATGGCAGACATAAATGGAAGACACAACAATAACCATATATACATATAATTTTTATATATCTTCGAATCTGGGACACACTTGAAACGATTGCGGGCGCATTTCCGTCATATCGCAATAATGACCACGATATATATGGGAGCCACCCAATAAAGTTCTATATATATTTATTGTCAACTTACCAGCGACCAGTAGCTGAGAAATCGCAATTTCTGTGGAAAGGTTTCGGGCACCAGGCGACGATTGAAACTCGTCTTGAGTTTGTAGCTCCGTTGCACCTCAAAGTTGCTAAAGTACAAGCCATATGCAAATTGACCCAATGCACACAAATGTATTATTGTCACAAAGATGCGCGATTTATACAACTCCACTTTGGTCATCTTGGTTTAATTTGTTTTCAACGATCTACGATCTACAAAAACCGATTAAAACTTCAATTTGAAAGGGTTCACTTCGATGAGTCATTAATTTGACTAGTTTTCATTTTAATTGGGGTATATTTGTTGAAAGTGTGCTTCTCACATATTGGCAAACATAAAATGTAAGAGATTGCTGGCATTCAAGAATTATGGTACTTTTGTTCAGTTCAAAATGGAAAAATCTGCCAAAAGCAATCGAGTTTTGTAAGGCGAGTTATTATTTTTAAATCGATTTTATAAAATTGCAGAGGGTAATTTAATTATCTCATCAAATTTGTATCGCATTATTTTCAATATATATTTTAGCATAATATTAACCTACTAATTCATACCAACTATTTTTTGTGATAGGCTTTTCTCCAATTCATGCAACAAATGTTGAAACATTCTACAATTAAATAACTCCAGAAATCTAGTAAATGTTTCTTATTTTTTTTTTACATATAGATTTAAATATTAAATATAATTTGTAATTTCTTTTTCTTATTTTTCTAAATAAATAAATGTAAATAAATATGATCAACTGTGTCTGCTCTATTTTAATTTAATCGAATTTTTTAAATAAATAAAATGAACAATGCAAACAGCATTCAAATTAGATAGGCTACTAAAATGTAAATGTACATTGTAAATATTCAATAAATATTCCAATAAATTCAGTCAAATTTTAACTTTAGCTTATATTAAGACTTTGACGTGAAAATGCCCACATGAAATTGCAGACGCAACCAAAAAACGTAGCTAAGCACATTTGGCTAAATGAAATATGATGCGAAGACGTTTGCAAAGCCACAAAAAAAAATATATATAAAAAAAACCCCAAACAGCCCCCAAGCTCAGCGCTGAAGGTGTCAGCGAGAAATGTTTGAGGACTTAGCAAGCTCTTAGCAAGGCACTCGAAAAAATAACATAAGCAAAGAAACGCACACAGTCTAGATTGAAATCAATATTTGAGCCACTGACATAAATATTTGAAAAGCAGAACCGACAACAAAAAAAAAAAAAAACAACAACAAGAGGAAAAATGAATAACGAAATATTTGGAAACCCACAAATTGAAGTTGCCTGGGCGCCGGGGTCGTAGCTGTTTATAATTTACATATGTTAATGGATTTTTATTGGCAGTCGACGCGCAGTTGTTGATTGTTTCAAATGCTTCAAATGTATTTCTTTTTAAACAAATCGCATCGCACGCACGTAAATTGTTTGCCTTTTTAATGTAGTTTCCTTTATGTATTTTTATATATTTATATTTTTTTACTATTACTTTTTTTTTTGCTGTTTTTGGGTGGTGCGCGCACAACTTGGCGTATAGAAAACTGGAGTCGCACTGGCAATCGGGATAAATGTTGCTCATACGTCGCGTTGGCTGAATTGTCGTCGCTTTCACTTTCCGTCCGCCCGTTCGTCCATACGGCAAATACATTTGGTGCTGTTGCTTCGCATTGCGTGCAATCATCTGTGCTGAGCTGCGCATGTCTAGAATTTTTTATTCATGTTGTGGCAGGCAGCAGGTCAATGATTTGCTTTTGGCCAAAGGTACAACAATTAAGCGGTACCTGTTACAAACATATGTGCTGATCCTGTTATCAGCTATGCAACTACGTCAGACTGTCAATCAAAGAGCACACAAAACACTTTTTTCAGGCACTGCGTCAAAGTAAATAAAACTAAAACTGCGTTACAGATAGATAAAAACTTTGGCAAACAAATACATTTAAATCGATACATGTGCGCGCTCAATGCTTATATATCGATTATTGCTTATCGTTAAGCTACAGCTGAGCTTTGGCAGCCCTGGTGCTTTGTTTTGTCTATCGGCCAATTCTTTCTTTCATAACTTTCATAATATTGGTCGCCGAAAAACCAAAATAGATTTATAAGCACACAATTTAAACGCCGCTTGAACAAATAAACAAAGGTGCAAACGGAAGATAGTTGATAGACAACAATATTCAATTCTGCATTGGCGTTGGTTTTACTTTTAACTTTCCCTGGAGTTAACAAAATCATGTCGTAACAGGAACAGGAGTAAAAGTCAACTTTGGTTTAAACTAAATTTCACATAAAAATTCAATATTTGCGTTTGCATAAGTAACACAAGAGCATGTCGCTGGCATCCAAAGTCACATTGGGTTTGGCGATTGGCGTCTCAAGTGCGATTATAGGTTATGTACACTATAAACAGTCCGACGACCGGTAAGTGACAATTAAATAAGTTTACAATTTGTTGTATGAAATTAATTGCGTGCACTCTTTTCACAGTTTCAAGCTTCATCAGGGCGTACTGCGCGACGTGGAGCAACAACAAAGACGCAAGCATGAGAACCGGTATACTCTACAGCAACAGATTGACATAACCAAACAGCTGAAAGCAGCGATGGAAGTAGATGCGAATGAGGAATCAAAAAGAAATACAGCAAATGCAGTTACTCCAAATGCATGAGTTTAATGAAATGGAAGAACCACTAAAGCAGATGCAGTTACTCCAGATGTATAACACATAGAATGGACGAATAAGCAGATGCAGTTACTCCAAATGTATAACACTTAGTTGTAGTGCTTAAAAGCGCATCAAATTGTTATCGTTTTTACCTAGTCGAGTTTGTATATAAAATTGTCTATTTAGAATTGCTTTACTGTACATGTGTCTTTTTTTGAGACCTTTAAGAAAATAATATGAATATTCTTTATATTGATCTTTATAATAAACATTCGTTGACTGCATCAGTTGATTCCACATAGTCCTGGTTAGGTCTGTTTTAATTTTGATTTTCTCATCAAATTTAAAAATTATAATCGACGATAACAATTGGAGATTTCTTTATATATCGTTATAATTATTACTCAATTTTATTATTACGAATGTGTGTATAAGTAATTACAATTCTAAATGGGCGCTCGATAAAAATAATTCACTTCGTGTAACGGGTGGTTTTTGTACAAAATGTATGTGTGGTGGACAACAAACACCCCCTCTATTCAATAAAAAATCAACACAAAAAGAAAAACTGAAAAAAAAACTGGAGTAGTCTGAAGAGTTGGCGTTCCATTTTTGTCCGTTTCCATTTCGATTTCCATTTCCGTTTCACGCCAATGTGTCCGCGAAGTGTCCAGAAAAAATCAACACATTTTTAATATCGTCCACCGCCTCCGCCTCCACCACCACCTCCGCCGCCGCCGCCTCCTCCTCCTCCTCCGCCGCCGCCACCTTTACGTCGATCACGATCGTTGCCATCGTTGCGATCATTGCGATCACCTCGATCAGTGCCACCACCAATGCCTCGCTCGCCGCCACGATCCGTGCCCCCCACAATGCCCCGTTCACCGCCACGATCTGTGCCGCCACCAATGCCGCGTTCCTCGCGTCGGCGACGCGGCGAACGGGTACGACTGCGTGAGGAACGACGCCGGGGGCCGCCGGAACGGGAACGTGAACGATTGCGACGCCGGCGTGAATACAGATATCTGCGCAACTCTCTCGATATCGGTTTCAGATGCATAAAATTACAGAAGCCGGATCGTGTGCACTCCCCCATCTCGTACTGTCGACAGCATGCCTCACGGAAATCGGTCACCGGCGACAGTTCCGAGTAAACTGGCCGCCCGCCAAACCAACGATTATTCAAATCATTTGCCGCCTTCTCGGCATCGGCCTCATTACGGAATTTGATGTAAACATTCCCCACGAGATGATCACCCAAATTGTCGCAAACATTCATTTCTTCAATTTCGCCGTATTTATCTTCGCACTCGACGAATACGTCTTCGAAGAAATTGTCATAATGCTCTTGCATTTCCTCGTCGGAAACGTTGGCCACCAGATGTGATCCGTCCGCTGATTTGGCGGAATTTTGGGGATTTACGTAGAGATTTTGGAGCAGCACCGTTTGCGAAAATGTTGGCTTATTGTGGATGCGGGAACAACGATCGCCATGCCGACACGCTCCAATCTTAAAGTAGAACGAGCAGTTGACTCTGCCAAAGACAAAAAAAAAACAATACGTGAGTTTAGCCGGAGCGTTAAAAAGAGCGCTGCTTGCGGCACATGCCGCACTCTTGTTATTAAAAATATATCTTTTTTCGCCCTGCCCCCAACTTACTTGTCCTTTTCTGTGCCAAAAATTGATGCCAAATATTCGGCCATTGCGCTGCTTATCTAATCGTGCTGCTTATATTTGGAACGTTTTCGCTTTTTTTTTTTCAAAAATATTTTGTATAATTTATTTTTTTTTCCCCAGGCGCACGCAAAAAGCAGCGTCTGTCCGTATTTTGCGACAACGTTGCCAGCTCGAATATATTTAAGTAAGCGGTGCGGTGCTGCCAACTCGTCTGTCACACACATCGTCAAATTCGAATTATAGAAAAACACTAACAAAAAGCAAAAATTACAGCAGATATTTGTGTTTTTTATGTAACATTTGCTATCAGTGCAATCGAGTTGAATTTTTTATTTTTATAATTATATTTTTTTTTTGCAAAAACTTAGTGGCTACGCTCTGGGCGCTACGAGTGTGTGTTGGCAACGTTGTTCGCGAGTCTGACATTTGAGCAGGAGAGCAGCGAGAGCGAGTGTGAGAGCGAGAACGTTAGCAGTAGCTGTAGCGAGAGCGAGTCACGACTCATGCATTTCTAGAAAAGTCCGACGACGGCGGCATTTTTTTTTGCAAAGTTCAGCTTCCAAAAAAGACGTGTTTCAAAACCAACAAACAAATTTATAAGTACTTGCCACACTTACAGCAGCAGAACGACTTAGAAAAATGGACAAGGTGAGTGGAAAGATACAAATGTAAAAAGGGGTACTTCGAAACAAAGGCGAGTCAAAAATTATGCACACCATTTGCACAAATTTCCATTGCAGGTGAACGAATTGAAGGAAAAGGGAAATACGGCTCTAAATGCGGAAAAATTCGATGAGGCCATTGCAGCGTACACCGAAGCTATTGCGCTGGACGCTAACAATTATGTGCTATTCAGCAATCGCTCGGCGGCCTATGCAAAGGCCGGGAAGTATCGGGAAGCCTACGATGATGCAGAGCAAACCATTGCGCTGAATCCCACCTGGCCAAAGGGGTATTCCCGCAAAGGAGTCGCTGCCGCTGGACTCCGGGATTATATGAAGGCCTTTGCGGCGTACAATGACGGTAAGTTTTACTTTTTGGTGCTTATTATTTTGTCTACATAACCTCAACTAACTGGACAATGTGTTTAGGTTTGAAGCACGATCCGCAAAGTTATATGTTGTTGCAGGGTCGCCAGGATATTACCAAATCGATGTTTAGCTATATGCAATCGCAAGGTGAGATATCCATGGATGTCGATCTACAACCCATCTTTGATACAAAGTCAACGGAGAGTAAATCCGCTGAGTCGGCAGCTGCTGCTGCTGCGGCTGGTCCCCGTGTGGAGGATATGAGCGAGGAGGAGCGCAAAAAATACTATGCCAATCAGGAAAAGGAACTGGGCAATGCGGCGTACAAGAAGAAGGATTTCGAAACAGCACTCAAGCACTATAATGCTGCCATCGAACATGATCCGACTGATATCACGTTCCACAACAATATTGCGGCTGTTTATTTCGAGCGCAAGGAATATGATGCGTGCATCAAGCAATGTGAACGGGGCATCGAAGTGGGTCGTGAGAATCGTGCGGATTTCAAATTGATTGCCAAATCGATGGCACGCATCGGAAATACTTATCGCAAGCTGGAGAACTATAAACAGGCGAAATTCTATTATGAGAAGGCAATGTCGGAGCATCGTACGCCTGAGATAAAGACGTCGTTGAGCCAGGTAGAGGTCAAGATTAAGGAGGAGGAACGTCGCGCCTATATTGATCCTGTTAAGGCCGAGGAGGAGAAGGAGAAGGGCAATGAGTACTTCAAGAAGGGCGATTATAGCACTGCGGTCAAACACTATTCGGAGGCCATCAAACGTAATCCGGATGATCCCAAATTGTACAGCAATCGTGCTGCCGGCTACACCAAATTGGCCGCCTTCGATTTGGGACTGAAGGATTGCGATACTTGCATCAAGCTAGATGAGAAATTCATCAAGGGTTACATACGGAAGGGAAAAATTCTGCAGGTAAGCTTTGATGAACACTTAATTCTTATTATTATTAGTATTTATTTATTATTATTTATATATTTAATTTTTTAGGGCATGCAACAGACATCAAAGGCTTCATCGGCGTATCAGAAGGCACTCGAGCTAGATGCCAATAATGCTGAGGCCATTGAGGGTTATCGCCAGTGCTCAATGAATTTCCAAAGTAATCCACAAGAGGTGTTCAAGAATGCCATGTCCGATCCGGAGATCCAGCAAATTCTCAAGGATCCCGCCATGCGCATGATTCTTGAACAAATGCAAAACGATCCACAGGCAGTTAAGGAGTAAGTTTAATTATTTATTTATTCAACGTATTTATTTAACTATTCTTTATTATCTCGTAGCCATTTACAAAATCCGGCTATTGCTGACAAGATATTGAAGTTGCTGGAATCGGGCATTATGAAAATACATTAAGAAATTAGCCACTATTCGGAAGAAGAATAAAAAACCAAAACAATCGCCTAACAACATTCAGGAGACAAGAAAAACAAGCAACATATACACTGCGAAAAAATTTCCCAACATTATACGCCCTGACACTAACTTTAAAAATATTAGCAACGAGCCAACAGCATTACAAATATTGCCCTTGACTTTAAAAACTCAACTATAAAAAGAAACAAAGAAAGAAAAAAAAACAAATGCTGGTGATTGAAATCAATGAAATAATAATTACCCAATACAAATAATGTCTAATGCATAGTTGATTTTTACACACAGATAGATGCTTCATAATAGACAGTGCCGTGGTTCTTATTTTCATACTAAATACATAAATAATATGCTGTAGCTTAGCTCTATATTATAATTAAGTCTTTGGATGTACAATAAATACAAGTCAAAGATTGGTAATTGATTTTTTTACATTCAATTTGTACAATTAATTCCTTCTTTTAAAAAATGATTTCACTGTGCAGAGACTTGATCAAAAAAGAAAATGTAGCGTTCCAAATTAAATAAGAATTATTTTCAAACTACATCTAACTCTTTTTATCACAAATTTAAAGAATGGTAATTGAATTTGTATTTGATGAAATTTATTCCCACTTTTAAAAATGTATTTCACTTTGCAGAGACTTGTTTAAAAGATAAGTCATATTCTATATAAAATAAGAATTATTTTCAAAATATATATATATATATATTTTATTTCAATTTATTACAGGTGCCAATACTATAATCACTAAACCCATCTCAAAAATGCATTTCAAATTGATTGCTGCCCAAGGTCAAACAAATATAGACCTAAATATTATTTTGAAATTCTTTTCAAATGACAAATGCGTAACAAAATATTTTTTTAAAACGTTTTCAATGCATAAGATGTTTCTGTTTCATTAGATCCGTTGCACATTTCTAACTACGAACCCGATTCAAAGTCAAAAGTGTGCGTCTAAAAATACCAAAGCAACAAAAATTTGGTCAGTCTCCTCGTGTGTTAAATTTGTGATATTTTTTAGTGCATTTATACTCAGCGGTCGGCAAGTGTTGAACAGCGGAAGATGTTCGCAACATGCTATTCAGTGCCAGTGGCCGTGCAGTGTTGAGGACGATTTATTCCACACAAAAAAAAGAAAAAGAAAGATATAATGGTGTGCTGATTGTGATTTCCATCGTATATATATAAATATTAATAAAGCACCAATAAACGAAAGCGTTTAATTCGCTCAAATTGCAAATACGAATTTGGAAGCAAAGCGAATGCCTTTTAAAATACCGATTCCTGCACGCTATTAATTGTTTTAACTATAGTTATATATGTATGCATGTGTATATATTTGATTGAGTGTGTGTATGCGTATGTGTATGTGTATGTAGTGTATGCGTATGTGTTGCCTCCGAGTTTCTCAGTTGATTCGCGAAATTGAGAATAGAAAGATGGTGCTCGGTAAATTGTAAGCGTGAAAAAAATAAGTAAATATATATAAATACACCATAAAAAGAAATATATATTCTGGCGAAAAAATTGGCTAAAGCAAATCTCCAGTTAATATAGTTTTTGTTGGCCAACGACAAAAGCAACAAATCAGAAGTGAGTACATACAACAAAAAAAAACCAAAAAAAATGCCAAAAAATTAACGCTAACCGCTTGCGCCCAAACCCCGTATTCGTATTCGCATTTCAAATGCGTTTCGGGGGCGCTTGGCAACAAGCAAAAGCCGCTACATACATGTATGTATGTATGTATGTGTTGTAAAGTGTACACACATACATATATGTATGTACGTTTATATATGTGTGTGTGTTGTGTTTAACCAACACTAGTGTGAAATATGCGATTTTGGTCTTCCTAAACTCTATGTATGGTTTTTGTTATTGCAGTGCATCCCTCACCGATGCACTACTCAACGATGAGGCCACAGGCGCCGGCGTCTATGGTACACGATCCGAAAAAGGATGAGCTGCGCACTGCTCCCTGGTATTGGGGCAGCATAACGCGCGAGCAGGCAAAAAACATATTGTTCGGCAAGCCCGATGGCAGTTTTTTGGTACGCGATGCGCAGGCAAAGGTAAGTTGAAAATAATGCAGTTACAATTGCAGCTGCTGCTTGCAGAGTTAACAGTGTTTTTCGGGAACTTTTCTGATTGGATTCAAATTGTACACAGTTGGGAAATATTATTTTTTTAGAAAATATATTAAATTTAAATGTGATGTTTTCGAGTCTTTCCCGGAATTTCAATGTATTGCAAAAAAATAAAAAGAATATTAACTTTGCATGCGATGTCTTTGAGCCATTTTATGTATTTCAATATTTAACAAAGCAAATTTACATCCAAAGATAATATGTGACGTAACTAAAAGTGTTTTATTTCATCTTTTTTTTCTTTGAATAGCTAACGGATTTGTAATGCAATTTATTTTTATAGGAACTATAAGATTGTAATTTATAGTTAAGTCGTAAAATGTTTTTTTTTTTTAGTTTTATTTGTTACAACCTCTCCAATATTTCACTTTAATTGGCCGGATATTTATTTTTTAGTTGAATTTTACATTGTTTTTTCTTAAGGTAACACTTAAAAAGAAGGAACAACTTTGAAAAAGCTTTATACTAATCAGTTATTAAATATAATTTGTTTATTTTGACTGTTACTTATTTTTTAGCACGATTTTACATTGCTTTTTAAGTAGGATTATAAAACATTATGTCAAGACCCAAAGATTTCCAATTTGCAAAAGATCACAAGCAAAAGAGTAAAAGAAAAAAACATGCAAGCAAGAAAAAAAAACAGGAATAAAAGTTTAAAAAAAATAATAGCAACAATAATAAATAAAAAGAATGAACAAATATGCATAGTAAAATAGAAAAAGGAACAATAATAAATAAACACAATAAATTAAAAAAAAAAAAAACAATAATAAATAAAATTTTTAACACTTTTGCAGAAGGGCGAATACACGTTAACCCTGATGAAGGATGGCAACGAAAAACTGATCAAGATCTGTCGATTAAAGAATAACAAGTATGGCTTTGTGGATAACTTTCAGTTTGCCAACGTAGTCGATATGATCAACTATTATATGAGCAACTCCCTGAAGATCTACAATAAGACGCTAGACATAACGCTGAGCAATCCGATAATATGCCCCTACTACGATGATTCGCAGCCACAGGGTGATCTACGCTTGTGGAGCGACGAATTTATACGCTGCTCGCAACTGTTGTTGCAACAGGAACAGGCACTCGATCAGAAGAAGACCTCTTTCAATGCGATTAGGGAGGAGTTGGCCGAAAAGCAATTGCATCAGAGTGTTTTTGGTAATGCGGACACAATGTTTCGCAGTCAAATCACATTGATTGAATCGTTCATAAATACGGGCGTTGTACCACCGGGTGGAGCACCGCCGGGTGCACCAAATGCCACGGCTGCACAATGTTCGCGTCAGGAGGTGCAACAACATATGCGCGACAATTTGAAGCACATGACTGATCATCTGCATGTGATGCATGTGAAAATGGAGCGACTCAATCAGGAGATTAAATCCCTGAAGGAGGAGCAACAGTTGTTGGAGCGTCAAATCAATGCCACAAAGCCGGAGTTGCAGCAATTGCAATTGTGCAAGGACAAACACATTGAGTAAGTGACGTCATTTTTAAAGTGTTTCGCACACAGAAAAATCTGATTAGCGTCGCAGTATGGAATGAAGAGGGGCAGAGTGTTGTGGAGGGGAGGGAGGGGTAGTTTTGAGGGCGATTTGAGCTCGAGTCGATTCGAGTCAATCCGTCAGTCATTCGCTTCATGTCAATGTGCATTTTTTTTCTGTTATTTCTTTCTCGGAATTTTGAATGCTGGCTGTTTTTTCTGTTGTGCTTCTCATTTTACACACAACGCTCGCTTTTCGCTGCTTCTTTCAAGTGCGACACTCAGCTGAGTTTTTGACCGTTGTAAATAATGAGAATAATAGAAGTAAAATGCTTTCTGCCTGTTAGCAGCGCCGCTCAACGTTTGGCTCCGGCTACAAATTCGCCACGCTGACTGCTGGTCTACGTGCTTGTCGTCTGCCCGCATGTAATGTATATATATATATATATATATATACTATATGTAAATATGTTTTTAATTGTGGATGCCTTTGCCTGGAAGCCCTGTAAACCGAAACGTTCAGAAGCCAAAATGCAGATAATACAATGATCACTTGTAGATTTGCTATTACAGCATTTCTAGAAATTATCATCAACTATTCAGATTATAAAATAGTAGTTACGCATGTATAAATATTTTTATTTTTATCAATTATTATTGTTATAAAGGAGAAACATATTTTGATCTTAGTAAATTTCAACTTTGAGATCGGCTTGCTTATATATTAATCATTAGCCAATTAGGCAATTTGATAAACGCTATTTAAACTTAATATTTTTAGCAACTGACTTAATATAATTGCAAGTTATCATAAATACTTAAATCTTTGATAGTAGAGATTATAAAATAGTTACGTATACAGAAATCGGTTTATTTATATTAATCATAAATAATTTTTATAAAGATAAAGAGGTTGATACTATTAGCCAATTACAAAGGCATTATGACAAACGCTTCTTAAGCTTCTTAAACAACTCAGTTAATATAATTATCGCATATATTTCAGTTTTTGCTTGTAGTATATAGAAATCGGTTTAATTATATTAATCATTTGTCAATTTTAATCTCTAAAATCTGATATTATTTTCAAATTTATAAACGCTCCTTAAACTTTATATTTAGAATATAATTTTTGATAACTCTATTAAATAATCATTAATTATAAAAATTATTTTTTAAACGGGAATTTTGATTAGCTAGCGATCACTGTAGCAGATAAAACTATCCACCCGTTGAGGCAGACGGCAAAACAATGCATATAAATATATATATATAATATGTTGTCAAATATATATTTATATATATATATGTATATTTTTGTATGTAGATCCGTTGTGTAGCCGCTTGTAATTTAAATCCTCTAACAAAACAAAAAATGTTCATAAGTCGCCGTTGACAGTTTTACACATTTTTCGAGAAGACTTTTCAGAAAAGTATGCCAAGTGAGTGAATTATTGAGAAACATAAATTATGCTATGAAATCATAAAATAATGTTCAGAGCTGTCGAACAGACAGCCAGACTGTCTGTCTGTCGGTATGTCTTTATATTGTCTTCCGTTTTGTATTTGCGCGCTCTACATTAAAGCTGATGAGAGCTTTAAGGCGACTTGTCTTATTTTCGACTAAAGCTCAAAGCGCTAATCTCGTGATTTCAGCTGATGTCATTCGCTTTGAATTCGTCATCGATGCAGATGATGATGATGGGGATGATGATAACGATAATCAGTCGAACCTTGAACCATATTAAAAGAATGTGCCTCTAAAGCTTTATCTTAATTTAAATCTTTTTTAGTATGTTCTTTTTTTTTTATCCCGAATACGTACATTCGCTGAGCTTGTTGATTTATCACTCTTATTTCACATCTTTGGCTTATCTACCTGGGGGAATCTTGCATATTATAGCATATAGGGTATTCTAATTTTAATTGCTGAATAAGTTAATATACTTAAAGCTTTCTTAATGAAACTTATTACTGCTGTGTTTGTTTTGCTGCATTTGCTGTTTTAGCTTAAGCGGAAGATTGATTGATTCTACAAATGGTCGAAACTTGTTTTCTTAAATGATAAACTCAAGTTTCTTATTTTATAACTTGGCTCAGGTTTCATTTCGACAAAAATTTAACATTTAATTTCGTTTCGAAACATTCGGTTTAAAATTTAATCACATTTCAAATAAAAATTATATTTTTTTGCAATGCCATTCATTTTTTTGACCAACCAAAAGAAAACTTGTTCGCTATCGCTTTTTTATTACGCTTCTTATCTATTTGCGAAACTCACGTTTTTTTTGTTCTTTTTTTTTTTTAGTCTACATTCAGAGAAAAAAATTGCCCTTCAATATAAATAGCCGTGAAAAGTAGAAAGTTGTTCTTGTTCTCTAAAATCTGGGAATTTTGCTTTTTTAGAAATATTTACTAAGAAATGCATCACTAAAAAGAAAAATTAATCCTTTCTCGGCTTTTATATTTGAATGTTATTTTTTCTACATTTTATACAAATGTAACGTCGAATTGAGAAAAGACAAACACTGGCTTTTAAAAAGATACTTTCTGAATAATAAAGTGGGTTAAGCTTGGTGCCAAAAATATGCCAAATTTCAAAAGTTAGTTCAATGTTTTTTCTGAGTGTACGTAACTGACTCAACTATCAAATAGCCCTTATCTTAAGGGACCCTAGCAACTCAACGGTTGCAATTTCCTTAATTTATGGTCGAGTTTGTCATCGATGATGAGTGTGTGATGATTTTGGATTTTGAAGGTTACCGAATTTCTTGGGAGACTCACTGGCTCTGTGGTGGTTGGGGTTTCTAGTTCCATGTTGAGCATTGTGCGTTTGTTGGGGTCTAGATAAGGGGCACCAGGCAGGCACTACTATCGTTATCTGGCTGTCGAGCATTATTGTTTGTCAAGAGCTTAAATTCTATATTTTGTTTCTTTCATGACATTTCTTTCATTTTCTTTGTGTGTGTGTGTATATTATATATTCGCAAACCTTTTTTCGTCGTGTGTCTTTATTTTAATTAAGATTAAGCGCACCCATCTCGGCCTGATGGCGGCATACATGTTCCTTGGCATGTGCGCAACCTCTGTTCCATTATGGTTATTCTTTCTCTTTCTTTTTTTTTTCTTTCTATTTTTGAGATTTGTTGAATTTTATTCACGTCATCCAAAGGCCAGCAGCGATAAGAGATTTGGAGAGGTCGGTTAATTTACGTGCCGGAACGTGATTCTAAAGTTAAATTATTCAGTGATCCTACAGATTTTCGGGAATTGAAATCAACTTGAAACCTATAATTAATTCATATATATATATTTTTATTACATATGTTTGAAGATTTTGAGAACTACTTCGAATTAGATTCCCCATATGGAATTGGGAAAGAGCTGTGCTTGTTGCGCAAAAGATAACCCACCTTATGAAATATTTAGACAAGATTTTTTGATTATGTAGCTTATAAACTAGCTACCTATTTACGAAAAAGGGTAAATGAGAATATCATTAGCGAGCGATCACTTGTAGCAGATAAAACTGTCCACCCGTTGAGTCTGACGTTGAAAAAAACATACATCTGTATATATATATATATATATAGATCCGATTGCGTAGCTGCTTGTAAATTAAATCCGCTAACAAATCAAAATGCTCATAAGTCCCCCCGTTGACAGTGTTACACAGATTATTTGATTTGGAAGTTAGATAATAGTCGGATGTGGTTGTTATCAGGTGGATGGTATGCGATGGTATATATATATATATATATATGTATATACATAAGGAAGATGTCACACGTTTTACACCTAGATATTCTGTAGTAAAAGTAGCCATCGAAAGCGGATGAGACATTGAGTGTACATAGATTGCAGATGAGATCATGCCGGGCAGTTATTGATTAAATTTATCACCAATGTTTTTAACTGATCTATTTTTTTTGTGTTGTGTTATTGCAGGCGCCTGAAAGGCTGTAATCTCACCGATGAGGATCTGAACGTAATACTGGAGGTGGGCTTCGATAAATGGCAGCACAATTTCGAGAAGGCCTCCAATCAGCCGCATCGCGACGAATCGCTCTGGTTCATCAAGGATGCCAAGCGTCATGATGCCGCCGAGTTGCTGAAGGGTGCACCCACCGGAACATTCCTGATCCGGGCACGCGATGCTGGCCACTATGCGCTCTCCATTGCCTGCAAGGGTGGCATTCATCATTGCATCATCTTTCAGACGGAGAGCGGTTTGGGTTTCGCTGCACCCTACAACATTTATCCGACGCTCAAGCATCTTGTGGAGCATTATGCCAGCAATTCGCTGGAGGAACACAATGATACGCTGACAACAGTGATGAGGATTCCCGTGCTCTTTTGGACACAAAACAAACAGCATATATTGGAGCAAATGCAGGAGGATCTGGAATTGGAGCAGCTGGAAATGGAGCAGGAAAGAGAACGTGCCGAACAGGAGGCGGCAGCGCTGATGCCACCGCCAGCACCAACATCCACAACAGCAACATCATCATCGACGACGACGACAAGTGCACCAATACCCACGACAAGATCAAGGGAGCATACCAGTCACGATACCGTCGATGCATCATCGTTGGTCAGCAGTGAAACGGAAACGCCACCAGCTTCCATATCGCCATCAAATTTTAGCACATCTCTATAGATGCGAACACGAATCCAATCTCCATCTCCATCAGGCCTGCTGCTGCTCCACCAACTCCTGTCCTGTCATGTCCTGTCTTGTATTGTCTGTCCCAGCCTAGCTATCTCTCATAGGAATCCCCCCCGCCCCTCTAATGCTATCTCTCTTAACTATTATATACATATATCTATATATTTATATTTAATAACAAGAAACGAAATAATTTTTTCGCTCGGAGAAACAGTTCAACTGTGTTAAAAAAAGAGAACCGACGCAAAAACTGCAAACGAAACAGAAACAAGTAATTTTGGTGATCATGTTGATGTTGTTTATTATACACACATACATATATATATATATATATATATACATTTATATATGCATATATATGTGTGTAGGTATTCTCGTTTTGTTTTTCTATATATATTTTTTTGTTTTTGTAACAATGCATTTCGCTTGATATAAAAGTGATAAAAGGTCAAGCCAAACTGCTATATAAAGAAAGAAATTGTGGTTCCCATCCACATATATAATAATAAAAAAAAACAAAACTTATATATTAAAGAAAAGCGTCAAATTTATCTATATATATACCATATAAATCGGTGTAACTCGCACGCTGTGCGTCTACGAGTCAAAAACCCCGATTTAAACAGATACAATATGTATATATATATATATAATACATAATTAAGATTAAATTCAAAATACGAAATCTACTTTTGTCGTGTGTCACTTGTAAATACAATATGTATATAAATATATATATGTATTTATATATATATTGTATATTTTTTTTTTGAAAATGGGTGGATCGTTAAGCTGATTTTGATAATCGGGCAAACTATCCCAATCCGACCACGAAAATATTTGTTGTTATCACACACGAGTCTTGATTGATTTTCAAATAGTTCTTAAGTATACAATCCACAAAATACGTACGTATGTTTATAGTATATATATATATATATATATCAGTGATCAGTTGTCTGTTGCTACTTATAATCGGTATATATATATATATATATATATTTTGTAATCCATAGGATATAAATACCTTTTTTTGTGTTCTTTTTCTCATTTGTTTTTTAAAACATAATGAGTTAACTTTACCTTAAATACAACCACAAATATATACACATGTACACACACACAGACACACACACACAGCAACAGTAACAAAACAAAAAGGAGAAAAAAGTGCAATCGGTAAACAAAAACAAAAATTTACTTTTTACATTTGTTATTTATACAAATACAAAAAAACAAAAAACAAAAAAAAAACATAAAAAATGTCATTAAAATGCCCCATAAAAAGACAAAAAGAAGAAATCCGTTGCCCGGAATCTGCTGCAATATGCAAAACTTAAAGAAGCTTCAGTTCGCAATATATATTTATTTATAAATACATAAAAAAATATATATATATATATATATATTTAACCCACCTGCTATGCGTTTTTTACATGCTCTTTCCAAAACTCTAACTAATTAATTGATAAGTTTTGTGCAATTTGTGTTTGTGTTTCATGCTAGAAAAGAAAATACAATACTGAAAATGTACTCGAAAAAAAAGATATTGTCGAGTCCTGAGAAATGTTTGGAAAGGGCAACCAGTTTCGGTATGCACTTTCTGTTGCCAATATTTTGTTTTATACACCAACACACACACAACACACGACAACAACAGCAACACTCACCAATAAATTTTTTTTCTTTTATTTTACAACTTTGTATAATGTATAATTTCTGTATATGTAACTCTTAATTTAATAATGTAATACAATTAATTTCATGTGTTTATATTCTATACAAATATTATTTTTATTTTCTAATGCTATGAGATTTCGTCGGATCTCCTACGTTGTAGTATTTTATAAGTTTTAAATATTTAGTTTGTAAAGATGCGTTTCAAACAACATAAAAAAAAAAACATTAAAACAAAAAACCATAAGCATTGTATTTTAAATTTGTACGATGATGATTTTTTTGTTGCCATACTTAAATGTTAGATGAACAAGTTTTGGAGAAACTGAAGAAACAATATGGTAAAATAATAAATAATATTAAAATCCCAATGGGCTGCATTTTTTGGCGCTGTGCTAAACCCGACAAATGATAACGAATTGCGAATTTGTTGTATTTTTTATATGAAATATATATATAAATATCTATATAGATGTATATGCTGCATATACATATAGATTGTCAACGTATCTGTATATGCTATGTGTTGTAGTTCTTAAGTGCTAACCTGCCACAATTGGTTCAACAACAACAAGAAAAACAAAAATTTTTGTAGTAGATTTTAGAGAAACAAATTGAATATATATATATATATGTATCTATTTGTATTTTGTGTCTAAAACAGCAACAACAACAACAAACAAAACTAATGTTCGTAAATATCAAAAATTAAAATAAAATGAAATGAAACAATAAGTAAAAGAAAATGTATATGTGTGTTGTGTGTGTGTGGTATATGAAGAAAATCGAAAACGAAAGGCGAATTGAAATGAAAAATTTGCTACATGCACGTAAAAAAATAAAAAATGTAACATGTGAGTTGGATTATATTTCTCACTTATTTTTTTATTTATTTTTTTTTTGGTCTCTGCTTTCAATGGAATCGTTCGCTCTTCTGCTGAGCTAGCTGAAACGCGAGAACCCAGTCAGTCAGTCAGTCAGTTTGGCAGTTAGGCAGTCAGGCAGGAAATATATGGAATATATATATAAAAGAGTGAAATCACGCGCCCTGCGCTGCTACACGAATGGTCCCAAAACACGAGATCAGCTCATGATACGTGGTCCAACACAAGGAATAATTTTCATCGCTTATTGCTTGGAAAACCATGGGAAGTGGTTTAAATGGTGTAACACTTGCATAACCCTGATGAGCTGTAATTTCGTTTATTATTTGTTATTAATTCTTAGTATACTGGCTGAAGTCAAGCTAAATTATTATTATTCACGAAGTAAATATACTTTGTTACGTGCATATTTTTGACGTAACTTCTTACGGTAATTGGAGTTGCTGCAAGCGAAAATCGCCTGATTGAAATAAACAACTAAAAGAAAACAGCATTAAGAGAGCTGAGAAGACTGCAATGGAAGAGCAGAGATAACATTAACATAACATTAACAGCTGAGTGTGCTTTCTCTCTCTATGTAAAATGCGCTTACAGCTTATTTTTGTAATTCGCCTGAAAGATAATCGAAATAATAACTGAAGAATTTCCCAATGGGACAATTGCTGAGAGTAGCTAAGCGAGAAAGATCCTTGCTTATGGCAAAATAGCCAAAATGAGTAAACTGTTAACCTTTAACATTGCGAATCCTCATCTCGATTCAAGCTGACTTATGCAATTTAAAATTAACTATTCCATATTATTTTATGTATGTATTTTATTATGCAGGTGGGGATCGGGCGCAGGCAATTTAGTTGTTGCTTTTCTCAGCTAAAACCTAAAAATGTAATGGGCGTCCTTTAATGTACACATTTGTTGTTACTTTCTGCTCTCCGCATGCGCGATGCGTTTAAACATATATTAAGCAAATTAGTCATAATGCAATAGCAAAGAAATACAGCGAAATAAAATCCGAGTAGAGAATGAGCTGTCTTTAACAATGTTTTCTTTTCTTAAGTATTAAGTAATCTAAAAAAAAATGATAAATGTGAGTAAGCCGAATAAGTCATACGAAGAGAACAAAGATGATTATTATGTTGCTTAGAACTTTCTATTGAATTAATTTTACACACAAAATGGCCTAAAAATACTTTGCTCTTGAAATATGATTCCTTTCAAAATGTCTCAAATAAGATCAAGGTCTGGCCTTGATTTTTAGCCAAGAAATAACATTTAAATGCCATGATTACCAGAAATGTTTGTATGTATATCTGCAGGGTATATTCTAGTTGGGCATTCACAGCTAAGAGATCTTTTGTTTGAGACAGCATTTTTTCATGAGCTTCGAGCGAAAATCGTGATACCAAATAGACATGTAGCAGTATTCTAGAGGTCAAAGTATGATAAAAATGAAAATATTTGTGATAATCGGTTAAGATTTGACAAAGTTTTAAATATATACCCGACCCTGAACAATGGTCAAATAATATATAACAGCAATAATATAACAACAACAATAATTATAAAATATTATTTGATAAAAATAGTGACATAATGAAATTACAATTCCAATAATGATATACAAATCCACAATTCAATTTAAATAGCGCGCACAAAAGTATGCTATAAATGTTGGATGGCGCTCAGCTGCTACCAGGGCTGCGAATTCAAATTAAGCAAACATGAACTTAACGTAAGTACGTATGTGTATTTACATGGTATCAATGTAACACACACAACATACATATTTTGCATACACATTACAATTGCGGCACTTTTGCTTGTACTTAATATTATGCGCAATATGCGAGGCGTTGCCTATTTTTTATTTATTTATTTTTTTTATTTGACTTGCAAGCCATGTGCCGGCTACAAATGCGTACTGCGAACCCGCTGCCGAGGGGGCGAGAATCGCGCTAACTGCGCAGTTGTTTCAAAAATCTATTTTTCACCGGCTGCTGTGTGCTTATACATGTATGTATGTGTCTGTTTGTGCTTGTGTGTGAATGTTTGCTTATATGTATGTATGTATATAGACAGAATGTGGGTTATGAGCAGAGCGAGTGCCACGCGCATAGTTTGAGAGTCCCACTAGACAGCCGCCATTCTTCTTCTTCTTTTTCTTCTTGTTGCTGTTCACTTTTTCTTTAAAATATCTCTCTTAAAACATTTGCCGGCCGGTATTTCCAGCAGTTCAAGAAACCCCCGCAAGAAAAAACTGCAAACAATCAAGGTGAATTGCCGGAATTGAACAAACATTTGTTATCGTATTTTTTTTTAAATTTTTTTAAATGTATTAATTGTTGAAGGTTAGTCAGTGTTCTTATTAGAACTATTTTCAACAAGTTCAACAGCTGATTAAATAAACACAAGGCCATTGGAATTTCAAGTATTATTTAAGGTTTATTGCAAAACTTTCTTATGAATTAAATATGATTAATGATAATTAGTAAAAAGTCAGTCAATATGACTGAAAACTAAACAATCGCCTCTAGACGGGAATTCAATATGATTAAGTAATGAGATAACTAACATTATATAAGATCAGTATTTAGATTGCGAAGGACTACAACTAGATTGATATGGCTAAATGAATCAAATGAGTTTTGGCAGTTGCTACTCGGAATTGGGAAAAGCTTCTTATCATTTTTAGAGCTCCAGTTGGAACTGCTCCTGATCTTCAATTTTAAGGGATGCTGTCGCCTTCTTAACCAGCTCTGCGGGCACTGGCACACACTTGCGGAAAGGGGTGCGGGGAGTGCCACGCATCAGACAACTGGGAATATTGCTGGGAGGCGTCTGGCTCAATGGGGAACCACGCAGGTTCTTCATGAAGTTGCGCTCATAGATCAACTTGGTGCCTGCAATTAAGATTATAAATTGAGTTATTAGTCTACAGGTTGTTGCATCAGAATTCAGAGTCCAACAGATGATAAGACAGACAGCTGTGCACGAGTCATACAAAAATTTTAATGAGTCATTCACAGGTGGCTGAGTCTAGACTCAGTCTGAGACTGTTATCACAAAAAAAACAAACAAATTTCTTGCCTGATTCACAATAACTAAATTAGTTGAACTTACCGCCAGGTGTCGTGGAGTAGATGGTGCCACCGGGTGTGGATGAGTAGACTTCGGGCATTTGAATGGGATCAGTGACGACAACCTTCTTCGTTTTGCACATGGCCAAGGGCAGAGCATGCGAGATTGCTTGACGAGCGGTGGGTGATGCAGACATCTTGATTGTGGAATTTTCCGTTAATTTGTAAGACAGTTGTAATATCGTAATCGAACGACTTTTGTTTATTGTTTGGGTGTAGTAAATTGCGTTTTCGATTATTGCTTGTTTTGTCTGTGGCTTATCAGCAGCTGTTGCTCCGTTTGTTTAACACGTTCTTCGACTGCTTGGCGAAGTTCAAGTGACATTCAAAGGCAATGGCCGGGAGTATTTATACTGCCTGTTCTGCTTCTTTCAATCGTAGCGCACGAAAACAAAACAAAGCTACACACACACACACACACACAAACTCAAACACGTACTCGTGCCAGTAGCAGCAGTGTCATTGCATAGCGTCCGCTCTCTCTCCCTTTCTTTGTTCGTTCTCTCGCCGTACTCTCACTGACTGTGTACGTCAGTTAGTACGTTCTCTCTCTCTCTTTGTTTTTCACACGTGGTGGTTGCGCGTGTATTTATTTGTTGCGCTTGTTTTTGTTTTATTTTTTTACAACATTAAACTACTCGATTTCGATTAAGTAGTAAAATTCTAGTGATCAGTTTGTAATAATAGGTTAATATCTTGAATACTTTGATTAACCGTTCTTATACTATATGTTGTTGACATGTTTTCTTTTTCATGAATGGAATGTGTTTTTGTTTTTGTTATTGTCGCCATTTATTGCTGCTTTTGTCTTATTTGTAGTTTTCTGTTGTTGAATTCTTGCATACAAATCAAAAGAGCATATTTTATTTTGGTCTTGTTGTGTTATTATTATTGTGCACATAAATGACGTTGGTTGTTTTTAGATATAAAGGTGTTTACAAAACAAAGAAACATAATAATAAACAATTAGTTATGCAATAAGTCCATAATCCTCACAAGAACCGGAAAATCTAGGCCACGGATTTTTGTAGATATATTTCTATACAAAAATAATTAGGTATTGATATATAAATGAGTTCGATAAAAAATTACAAATAAGAATAGCTATTTATTTGGGCATTGAATATTGTTTTTAGTAGGCATATTCCAATACTTAAGCACTGTTTTCATACGCATTTTATCTATGGATGCTGTTCAATTTTATTGGAAATAAGTGTTCTTATAGACCAATTTTATTCTCAGATACTAATGGAAAAAAAACCAAAAATAAATATTATGTGCCTAGTTTCTTGGAATAATCAGATCAATTTAAATAACTGCAAATAATAATTATAATCTTAAATACTAGAAGAATAATACAATAAAGTTTTAATACTTTTAGTCAAAATGAATCCAATGCATTTCTTGGAATAATCCGATCAATTACTTCAAATAATTTAAATAGACTTATTTTATTCTCAGATACTAAAGAGCTAATCCATTAAATTCAATGTCCAATGCATTTCTCGGCATAATCTGATCGATTTTAATTGCTGGAAATAATAATACTTAATGACTAATTTTAATCTAAGATACTAGAAGAGTGAGATCATAAAATGTTGGCTTGTGCAATTCTCGGAACAAATATTAAGATTGTATATATTAAGCAGCAAGTCTGCAGTTGTTTCTTCCTTCGAATGTGGTCATCATTTCGGAGAGAATATCTAAACTGCGCATTATTTTTTGAAAACGCATTTCTCTATTTCTCTTCGAACAACAAATGCCGGCCGGTATGCCAAGAAGTTCAACAAACCCCTAAATAAATATGTATATATATATTTATACAAATGGAATATTCCCGTCAAGGTAAAGTCGAAGTTTTATTTGATAATTCGGTTAGTCAGCGATTCAAGGTTGATCAATCAGCTGATAAAATAAACATAAACTCGTTGATTAAATTCAATAGTTAAAGTATTAATTACGATTTATTGCATGAGGAGGATTTGCTTAGGAACTACACATAAGTATATCAAATATATATTCAGTACTAAATATATCGAATATATATATGATAAGAACAAAATCAGTCAATATGACTCAAAACTGAACAAACTTAATAACTATATGGCATAAATATGAGCACTAACAATTTAAGATCAGTTATTAAGTGTCGGATGATAATACAACTATCATATGATGATATGGCTAATGATAATGATGAGTTTTGGCAGTTGCTGCTCGGAATTGGGAAGCTTATTTTTCTTCTTGTTTTCTTGGGTTTGACTAGAGCTCCAGTTGGAACTGTTCCTGATCCTCAATTTTAAGTGATGCTGGCGTCTTCTTCACCAGCTCTGTGGGCACTGGCACACACTTGCGGAAGGGGGTGCGGGGAGTGCCACGCATCAGACAGCTGGGAATATTGTTGGGAGGCGTCTGGCTCAATGGGGAACCACGCAGGTTCTTCATGAAGTTGCGCTCATAGATCAACTTGGTGCCTGCAATAAAGATTAGAAATTCAGTTCATTAGTCTATGAATGTTGCATCAGAATTCAGAGTACAACAGGTGATAAGACAGCTGTGCACGAGTATCTATTTAAATTTCAATGAATCAGAAAAACATGTGCGCTGTGTTGTCTCAGACTCTTATCAGAAAAAGTTTTCTCAGCTGATTCACAATAAGCGCAATATTTCATCAACTTACCGCCAGGTGTCGTGGAGTAGATGGTGCCACCGGGTGTGGATGAGTAGACTTCGGGCATTTGAATGGGATCAGTGACGACAACCTTCTTCGTTTTGCACATGGCCAAGGGCAGAACATGCGAGATTGCTTGACGAGCGGTGGGTGATGCAGACATCTTGATTATGAAGTTTTCCGTTAATTTGTAGGAATTGCACACACTTGTAAAATCGTAATCGAACGACTTTTTGTTTATTGTATTGCTTGAGCGGAATTGCGTTGTTCGCTTATCAGCTGCTGCTGCTGCTGTGGCTGCTGCTACGATTGTTAGCTGGTCGCTTTGCGAGTCCAATTGACACACAACCGAAATGGGGAGCAGTATTTATAGTGGCTGCTCTTCCTCTTGCTTCGGTTTAGCGTGCAAACAAAACATACAAGCACACACACACACACTCACACCCATGCCGCCCTATGCTCTCTCCTTGGCGCCGCTCTCGCTCTCTCTCTCTCACACTCACACACGATTTAGCCGTCTGCTGATGTCTTTTGTTTTTGCTTTGTTTTGTTTTCTACAAAAATTTCTGCGTAGTACAAGTAGACTGTGTTGTTGGTGTTGTTGTTATGCATATTGTAAATATATATTTGTGAATTTTTCTTCTATATCTTGCCATTGCAGCCCAGACGGTTCGAGTAAAGCAGCCTTGATCGCTTGGCGGCTGTTTTGTTGACCAGTTCTAATCGGTTTAGCTTTACTGCTTGGTAAACAAGCCTTATGTGGAAGGAGGCACAACCCGCAAAACAAGAAGCGGAAGAACAATATTGGGAGTATCGATAACGCGATGACATCGATTGCTGCATAATTGCATTGCATTGATGGATGATTCACACTCAACGTCGCTGCTCAACGAAATTTGTTTCTTTCTTACGTAATTAGCATAAAGACACGTTGCGCGACTAATTGGCTGACGTATGAGGCGAGCATATCAATTAAATGGAAAGACACGAGCCACCGACGGGGGCGCTGTTGACGCCACTTGACGATCAACGCATGTAAATACAAAGAATTTGGATTTTCGTGGGAAAAACGATTCGACGTAGTTTGCCATTTTGGCCATCGGCCATTGCCTGATCTTTTGGTGCGCTTGCAAGGATGCCACGTGTAGTAGCTTTAAGTGGGACATATTGTCACCCACTCAAAGCAGAATATGTATATATATATATATATATATATATATCTATAGCACAAGGTTAATCATACGAAAGCCACGTGCTCGATCAAATCCGGTCGGATCTGTGCGCACTTTCTTCGCTGCTGCTACTGCTGCTGGCCTCGAAGGTCTAAACATAAATAGCCCCTAGCAAAGCAGATACCGTGGAAAAGTTCATTTCTGTGTGTATGTTTTTTTTTGTGAATCACTCAGAATTGCACTTGTACAGTGGTATCTTCAGATTGTGCCAGTTTTCTACAAAAATAGATGAATCAATTACTATATTTGAAATGTGATGATTTCTAGAGAATAATAAATTAAATGTGTTATCTAAAATTATGAATTCAAAATTCGCAAGCATCTGTTGAGTATTGAAAATAGAATAAATATACATTTTATTTAATAATAATGAAATAAACACTTCAAAAATATATGTTCCAAAATAAAAAAATCCAATCGAAGCAACTTCTCAGTCAATTCTATATTCTGCCAGTGTCAATTTCTAAATAAATAAATAAATAGAATAAACAAAAGAGAGATACATTTTCTTTAATTATAAGAAGTGATAAATTTGCTTATCAAAAATATGTTCTACAAAATAAAAAGATCAAATCGAATCACCTTCTTCCTCAATTTTAATTTTTCTCACTGTAATTTTTCTATTTCAATATCTATGCCCCGTTAAGTGCTGACCTCGAAACTAAGGTGATAAACATAAGTAGCAATAAACGCATGACACACATACAAACACACACAGAGAGAGAAGAGAGTGAGAGAGTTTGAACGGGGGGTGGGGGTCAGAGAGAGCATAGAATACGCAGCATAATTGCCGTGTCATCCAGCACGTAGCCCAGAACATTGTAAATAGTACATTGACTGACCTACGTGCGGCTGTAAGAATAAACCAGATTTGTGCTGTGTCTCTTTCTTTCTACATATCTGTCTGTTATCAGACAACCCCTTGGATTGAGCAGGAAACCAGTTTTCGCTTCGTTTTTTTCTTCTTCTTTTTGTTTGTACCTGCGCAGTAGCTGTAAAACTAAGAAAATGCGTCTTGGGGAAAATAGTCGAAAATGGGCCACAGGTAGCGGGTGTTCCCCGTCCCCATTCCCTTGTCTACCCTCCCCAAAACATCATCATCATCATCTGCGGCTAGACAATTTAAAATGTGTTTTATTTTCGATTCATTTTATTTTTCGGCATGGCTGATGAAATTGCACAATTCGATTGCGGCAGCTCTTTTTAGGGTATATAATCTATATTTGCTTTTGTTTTTGTATTTTGAAATATTTCGGCATCTTAATTTAGCTATTTTGAATTCAGTGCGTAGTTAGTTGGATTTTAAGAATGAAGCGCTCATTAAATATAGATAGATAAATAAGAGTGCTACATCTCTTGATGGCAACACCCACTTTTTGTAACTGAGCCGCGCACAACGAATTTTTTATACACTTGAAATTATTATTATTATTTTTTTAAGAATTTCAAAGTTAATCATATTCCAAGTATTTCTTTATTTATGTTTTTGATTCGCATTTGTTTCATTGAACCACAATTTCTTGTTTATTTAAAAAATTCCCATATTCAGTGTATGTCACTCGAACTTATCAATTCGGATGATAATTTACTTAGCCTATTTATATTATACACATTTGTCACACTTCTTATATTTAATTGACAATAAATTGATAAGCTCTATATGCACAATTGCACCTCTATTCTAAAGAGATAATGGATTTTTTTCTTGAAAAATAATCTTCGTCAAATAGGCACATTTTTTTAATATTAATCATGTCTCTATTTAAAAAAAAAAAACTTTAAATTTATTAAAAATTCTGATTAGATGCCGAAGCGAATGTATATATTTTTCGATAATGATCTTGCAGGTAAAATAAAAAATAATAAGTTTTGGTACATCAGAGTATTTGAAATATTTATATACCTTCAATTAATAGGGTATATTAGACAACTTGCTTGATTCTGCGTCGATGTCGATGACCCACATACATATATATAAATTTATATATACATATATTAGGCGTATATTCGTAGAAACCTGAAAACATATGTATGTGATTTCAAATGACGCCGGCCCGAAATACTAAGCGCTGCTAAAACCAAAAACCAAAAATAATAAAAAATTCGAATCAGTTGACTTTGTTTATTCGAAAGATGAAAAACAAACATATTGCCAAAACGAAAATAATCAGCACAATAGAAATATTGTAAACAAAGGTGCCAAATTTAATGGACCCATAAATCAAAACATCAAAAAATAGAATGCAACTTTTAAATTTTGGACTGCTGCAATTTCCAATTTAATTTGTAAAGTAAATTATACGAATCTAAGCTTAGTGTCTCAGACTGCATGGCGCGTGGATTTTTCTTTGCTTTTTTTGTTTTTTTTTTTTTTGTCTAATTCAGTTGCAATTTGCCGAAATGGAATTCATAGTTCAAAACAAAGTTCAATAGCCAAAGCTGATAAGTTGTTGGTTTTTTATTTATTAAGCGTGCTTTCGAAAGTATTTCACAAAATTAGCATTTGTCTTTTCTCTCTCTCTCTCTCTTTCTCTCACTCTCTTTCTCTTTGTTTTGGCGGATTTCCATATCCATATATCAATAATGCATTTTTGGAGAAAGCAGAGCAAAAAGAAACTATGGAAATGATTTTTGTTGTTTTTTGTTTGTTTTTGTTATTTGTTGTTTTTGTATTGAACTTGAAAACCTTCGCGACGATCAATGAACTTTTCTCACTTTCAGAACATGAGAGTTCCATGAACTTTCCATCAGGCTAGCAAGTTTTATTGATCCACCGGGAATAATACTCACAGTCGATGACGATGTCTTGAATATATAGTTGTTCCGGTCTCTTTATTGTTAAAGCTTCTTTTTGCCGATCTCTTCTTGAGGCACTGCTTTATAAATTAAAAGATACATTTCAAACTCATTTCTTTTAATTTCTGAAATAAACTGATATAAATTAAAACACTCCTAAGCAAACACTTTAGAATCTTACAAATGATAAACTCGAAACTAAGAAATGAGAAATATAAGAACTTATTTAAGTCTAGCCCAAACAAACCCTTGAATATTTTACTTAAACAATAATCACAGCTGTTCTATAATTCTTCAATCTATTTATTAATTACGTCGTAGTATTTTGAGCATGACTATCAGCAAGACTTGATTACTTAACCTAATCAATCAGATAGTGAATTGTAATTGTAAAATGATAAGGAAGCAACTGATAACTGAAATGCTGAAATTTGAAATGAGACAATCGCGCGGCAAATTAGCGCCATCTGGCGTTACACGCGAGCAAACCCATGCAACTATCGATAAGCACAGCGTGACAATGAACGCTCATCGATCGCAGACAATGGCACAGAAATTATTTTTGGCGGGAGGTGTGTACACACTTCACCTACCAGCCCAGGGACTGGAAACAATTTTAAAAGAGTAAATTTCAAAGAAAACTAAATAATATAATGGATCTTAACGATGCCGTGCTAACGTGCGCGGTGAACATACACTGGACGAACACGGTGGGCATAACCGGGCGCAAACTATGCTACAAAACAGCAACGTTGCGACTGGTGCGCAACGATTTGCGTGAAATGTTTGTAGAAGTGACGCCCGAAAAGTTAAAACCCCTCAAATTCCGGCTAAAAGACATAATGGTGCACAAGAAATTCATGTCGGAGGGCAAGGCGACCTTCAACTTTAAATCCGAACACTGCGAAGTGTATTTATCCAATGCGCCGCCCGGCATTTTAATGCTCTTTCTGCGCACCATTTTCATCAAGATGAATGGGGGTAAAGATGCAACTGAATCCTCTCCTTTGGATGAGCTGGCCATGAAGAAGCGGGTGCGCGAACAGCTGATTTCGTCGCAACCCAGCACCTTTGAGGAGATCTCACCGGTGACAACAGCCGAAATGGTTTTGGCGCGCAAAAAAGCCGGTTTAATTCCGCGTGGCACCACCACCACCCCCTCGCCACAGGCGGCCAAAAAAAGACGCCTCACCGATGATGACAAAGCCAATGTGCCTGCGGCCAAGAAATTGTATCAGTCGTCACCACTCGCACAATCGGAGGATTCGGTGCGTCTCAGCCAGGAGCAGTTGGAGGTGCTGCGCGCCTGCACCGCCGGCAAAAATGTTTTCTTTACGGGATCTGCTGGCACCGGCAAAAGTTTTTTGCTGCGTAAAATTATCTCGGCGTTGCCGCCGGACGGCACTGTGGCCACCGCATCGACGGGCGTTGCTGCTTGCCTCATTGGCGGCACCACGTTGCATGCGTTTGCTGGTATTGGTGGCGGCGATGCCACCATGCAACGTTGCCTGCAGCTGGCGGCAAGGCCAATGTCCGCGCAGACGTGGCGCAAGTGCAAGCGGCTGATCATCGATGAGATCTCCATGGTGGATGGGCAGTATTTTGAGGTAAGTCTGGCATCTTTATTTAGGTGGTAGAGATTCTAGGCGTTTCAGCATTTCATGCCACAAATGTTGCACCTAAAACTACGCTCAGCAATCGTGTAAATATTTATTTTCTTAAACTTAAGAAATATTTTCGAAGCTTGTAGTTTTGTTTTTGATTTAATTTAATTGATTCTCCGCTTTTTGTATGTTTCTTGTGTCGACTTTAAATAAATAAATAAATCTCGAATTTTATTTTTAATTTAAATTCTAATTTTGTATTTTTTCTGTTGGCATTAAATAAATAATTAGTAAAATCTATAATTAATTTCCAACAGAAAATCGAGTCTGTGGCACGACACATACGGAGGAATGATCGTCCCTTTGGTGGCATTCAGCTGATCCTATGCGGCGACTTTCTGCAGCTGCCACCAGTTGTCAGAGGGGAGACGGGCGCCCAGCAGCGTTTCTGCTTCCAGTCGGGCGTCTGGGAGCAGTGCATCCAATGTGTCTACGAACTGAAACAGGTGCATCGTCAATCCGATCCGGAGTTTGTGAAGATACTCAATCATCTGAGGATTGGTCATGTCAACGAGAGCATCTCCACCCGATTGATGTCCACATCGAAGCAAAAGATCGAAGCAAATGGCATTTTGGCCACACAACTCTGTTCGCACACCAACGATGCCAATTCGATTAATGAATCCAAGCTGGAGAATCTGGGTGGGGATAAGGTGCTGTTTCGTGCCGAGGATTCGGATGCAGGGATGAGCAAGCAGCTGGATCAACAGGTGCAAGTACCGGCCCAACTCTATCTGAAGATCAATGCCCAGGTGATGCTGCTCAAGAACATCAACATAGCCAGTGGACTCGTCAATGGTGCTCGGGGCGTGGTGGTGCGCATCGAGAAGGGTCTGCCCGTTGTGCGTTTCAAGAACAATCAGGAGTACGTTTGTCGCCACGAGAAGTGGATCATTAAGACGGCAACGGGTGGTGTTCTCACACGTCGTCAGGTGCCGCTCAAACTGGCCTGGGCATTCTCCATCCATAAGAGTCAGGGATTGACGCTCGACTGTGTGGAGATGTCGCTGTCCAAGGTCTTTGAAGCTGGCCAGGCTTATGTCGCCTTGTCGCGTGCCAAATCCCTGCAATCGATTCGCATTCTGGACTTTGATGCCAAGCAGGTGTGGGCCAATCCTCAGGTGCTGCAGTTCTATAAGAATTTCCGGCGGCGTCTCATCGACACCACCATGATTCCGCTGGGACCCAAGAATAAGGACAATAAGAAGCCGGCGGATGCCACCAGCAGCGCCTTGGCCAAGCTCAAAAAGAGCCTGTTGAACAAACCGCTCGTCTCGATTAGTTAGTTAATCTATCCAACTAGCTTTAGTTTTAGCTAAAGGTCTTTTTAAGATAGGGTTTTTCATTGTAAGGCTGCCAATCTAGAACACTATCTCAATTTAAAGTCATTTTAAGCTAAATTAAATCTATTCACATTCTTATCAATCCAAGTTTTTTTGTTTCCTAACAAAATATAATATATATTTACTAATGAGCATATAAAATAAATATAAAACATAATTGCAATTTATCCTTTACTAAAAACTTAGTTAATCACTTACTAACTTTAATTTAATGTACTTTAGTTTAATGTTTGCTTAAGACAAGGCTTCTTATTTTGAGGCTGCCAAAATGGTGCTTTAAGTCTAAAACCCTGTCTTTATCTGAAGTCATTTAAAACTAAATCAAATCGGTTCACATTTTTAGCTTTTAGCCGTAAAACAATCCAATTTTTTTGTGTTCTAAATATAGCATTTATACAAATGAGATAACAATATAAATATAATATATAATTATAATTTAGCTAAATGCTTGCTTCAAGACAAGGCTTTTCAGTTTGAAGCTGCCAATGTGGTGCGTTAAAGTCTAAACCCCATTTATATTTACACCTAAGTCACATCTATTTACATTCTTAACTATTCCTAATAAAATATGATTTATAGCAATTGAGATGCCAACAAAGTTTAATTTAGCTTCAGCTTATTTGGAAAACTAAAATTTGCTTATAAAAGATCGTAATGTTCTATGCTTTGCTCCCTTATGCATATACCCTCTTCTATGTGTATATTCCCATATTAATCAGATTTTTATAGATATATATATATATGTATATATAGTATATCCACTGAAAGAAGCTAGAAAATACCCCCTTCAATTCTTACACTCATTTTCCAACTAGTTTCAACATTAAACTGCAAATCACTCAATAAAAAACAGCTTTTAGTTGTTAATTTTTCTACAGTTTGTGTATATTATGTAAATCCTCGTCGCGGAGACATTCAACATTGTGTTTGTGTTTGAACATTGGCATTGACAACAACAACATCAACAATCACAACAGCTTTAATGACCCAACTGCTCCTCCTTCATGCCGCTGCCAACGGGTCCATGACGACGCTCCCAGATCAGGCGATGTTTCTGCTTCATAAACGCTGTCTTCGCATTCGCATAGCCGCCCAAATCACCATCTGCAAAATTCGATATTCAATTATACAAATTATAAATAAATAATTAATATGTAAACTGCTTAGATATTTTGAAATTTGTATAGCCTTGCGGGCGGTAGAAATGGTTAAGGATTTTAAGTAGCTTCTCAGAGATTATGAAATTAATGTCTATAAACCTGATCAGGATCACAAACTTAATCTTTATAGATTTATAGGAATACAGGAATCTAAGAGTTGCTTGCAAGGCTATACAAATTACAATTGCAACATGCCACACGTTGCAGATGCGAGCAGCACACATACACTTGATGAACCAATTCTCGGTGGCCTTCTCGTACTGCTCCAGAAGTGGCTTGCACTTGATGATGTGATCGGGTGCCTCGTACAAAGTGCAATCCTCGAAGCGTTGCCGCAAAATGTTGACAATCTCGTTGTCCACCATCCGATCGCGCCGAAATTGCTGATCCGCCTCGAAGCGGCAGACGGCGTCGTCCGTGTAGCACTCGTCGATGGTTGGCACGCGACGGAAGCGCTGATGGTACCAGTTCGATTTCTGTTGATTCGGCTCCACAATCGTCTCTGCAAAACGTAAGAAAAACAAGTGAACGACTGCGTAATACTCTGTTACCAATACGTAAATGGCGATATACTAGTTTATCGATTATCGACTTGCATCAAATTTAAGAAATATCGCTTTTGGCAATTATGAAGGCAGGCTAATTAATCGATTCTTATCGATATGCGTTTGTCGATCTTGTCGATTGTTTACACTCCTAGTAAACGTAGCAGTCCAATCTCGAAACTTTGTTGGACGCATGACAGCATGAGGAACATGTCACTAAGCCAATATACTCTTTATAACTTCGGTAACAGTGTATAATAAACGGAAGAAGAAAAGACCATGTAAACAAAAACAAAGCCGCAATCAAATTTGAGGTTATGTCATTATGTAATTACAAACTAAGTTTCGACTGCAACACAAACAAAAACAATAAGCAATGCTTTCTTGACTGCTCGCTTCAACTGCTGCCATTTGTTATTATTTAGAGTTCTATTCTTTATTTAAACTTACCACGGAACCAGGTAATTGGGCCATCGATTGCATTTTGCACGGATTGTGCAAAACTGGCCATCGGACTGCGTGGCTCGGGCATGTTTATAGCTTCACGGCGTACTGAAACAACGTTGAAATTAGTAACAATTGCGCTGTTTATAATTGCACTTCATTAAATGCTATTTAATGTTGAAAAACTAAATTTTTACCCAAAATCAAACAGCTGATTGGTTTGCAAATGAGTTGCGCGCTTTGGCGCGAGTTGGCAGTCTGCCCAGTCTCAAATTTGCGCGCAACCAACTTCACATTGTGCGCTCGATAGTCGATTTTGCTCGCCGATTGTAACCGATTTCGATAAGTCGCAAGACACATGTTGCAAGAACTTAGAAACATGTGCCGCATTATGGCAACATGCAAGTGTTGCCAAGCAACACACAATTTTCGCAGCGAGGTGCGCTTTTAAAGTTTGAGCTTTAATTTTGAGATATCGAATTAATATACAAATTTCTTCAATACTCCGAACTTTACTTATAGTAATGCGCCTTAAAAGTTTCAAATATCGAATTAAAACACAAATTTCTTCCATATACACAAGCTTACTAGCAATCATTTAATTTTATTAAATGTAATTAAATAAATTAAATGAAGTGTATATTTATATTATATTTTAGCGCACTGATCTGCGTTTTTGTATCTCTCTCTCTCTTTCATTAATTTTTGCATTATTATTTGCTTTCTCGCACGCCGCCAAAAGTCACACAACGAGAGCACAGAGCGAGAGAGAGTAAGAGAGCTTTGGTGGTTGGCTGCTGCTGCCGCCAGAGTGAGAGAGAGAGAGGACCCGTTCGCCATTGTATCTGTAAGTTTTGAAAAGAGAAAATATGCAAACGTTTCATTCTCTTTTTAATTGCCGCCTCGCATGGACGTCGGCGTTGAAACAGTTTTGTGGCGGCTGTCAGAAAGCTCGCACGTGCGAACGCGTAACGGCAACTTCGCCTCAAACAAAAGAAGAAGCGACCCGAAACAAAAAAGAAATACAAATAAAAAAAGGCAACTAAAGAATAAGAAACCAAAACGAAAAAGCCAAGAAAAAAAAGCCGTGTATATTTGAGTGCAAGCATTCCGCGAGTGCGTCTAAGTGTGTGCGTGTGTGTGTGAGTGCGAGTGCGTATCTGTGTGTCGAAGAGGAGAGCAAAAAAAGTTCTAAATAAACAACGACAACAACAGAAAAAGCCAAATCGTTAAGAATGCAAAATTATTTGCAAGCACAACAACAACAAGCAGCAGCAGCAGTAGCAGCATATTAAAAGGCAACACACAAAATAAAAAAAGTAGCAAATAAATACATAGTTTATAAATAGTGCACAAACAACAAGGCAGAGTCGCATTTTTTAAAAGAATTGTCAGGCGGCGGCGGCGGCGTTGTCTGTGTGCGTATCTGTGTGTGTGTGTGAGCTTGGCTGTGTGTTTGTGTGCGTGTGCGAGTTAGTGTTTTGTGCGTTGTGTGTGTGTGTGCAGGCCGGCGCTCTGTCTGTGTATGTGTGTCTGCCGGCGGCCTTCGTCTGCCTGATCCGCCGTTAACGTCAGCGTCGACGTCAGCGTCTCTGTCGCTGTTTCTATCTCTATCTCTCCTTTGCATGCGTCGCGTCGCGTATCCGTCGCGTCTGTTAAAAGTTAAGAATACGAAATAAGTGCAAAAATTAATTTATTCGCCCAGCAAATTTAATAAGTGAGTGCAGAGCAACAACCACAACAACAACAGCAGCAACAACAAAGTCAAAGTGCGCACAAGTTTTTCAAAAGCTGTTAAATTTAGAAAAAAAGAGACAAATTTAAATATTGCTTGCTGCCTGCAACGGCGTCAGCTGCGACGCCAGCAGAGAGCGCGCAACACGCGCGCCATCAAAACACACACAGCAACAACAACAACAAAAGATAAAAAGCTCTCCGCAGCTGAGATAAAGATTGAGTGCGAAAGAGAGAAAGAGAACGAGAGCGCATCTCAACGCTGCCGTCGGCAAAAAATAAAATGAAATAAAAATAATGGGAATATGAAATGAATGTTAGCTGAAATATATAATATAATATATATATATATATACATATAAATAAATAATGCGAGTAACATACAAAAGTGCCAAAAAGAAAAAAGGAAAATCATAAAATAAATAATAATACAAAAGTAATTAATATAAATGTAATTTTCAACTGTTATCGATAAATAAATGCAGTGTGCTTTTCAGCTATCTGGATATAAAGATAAGTGACAGTCAGTAATGATGAGAGAGCAACGCGTGTTATCGATAAGCCAAGAAAAATCGATAACGTAACAATGAGCGAGTAGCAGCAACAGACAAATCGAACAGCAACAAAAAAGTGGAGCGCGTGTTATCGATAAACTATAATGACCGATTACGTGCCGCCGTTAATCAGCAGCGTGCTGAAAAAATACCAAACGAGTGCCACAAAAAGTCTGCAAGGACCCGCCGTGGCCCTAATCAAAAAGGAAATACCCAGCTCACCGGAACCCCACGAGCTGCATCATCATCTTCACCATCATCATCACCTGCACCAACACCACCACTCGCATGATGCAGCCACAGCAGCAGCAACGGCAGCTGCCACTGCTGCAACTGCCACAAACGGTGACCGTTCGCCCACACAATACGGCGCACCCCTGCCACCGGAACTATCGCAACCGATACTATCGCCACCGGATTCGGGTTGCGGGGACCTCTACGAGACACGGTTGGAGGGCAAAACAATTGGCTGTTTCTCGCTGGGGGGCGAGATGCGTTTGTGTTTGCCACAATTTTTGAATAATGTGCTAAATGATTTTACGCTCGAACAAATCAATCGCATCTTTGATGATCTGGGCATTTATTGTTCGCAGTGTACGCCCGATCAGCTGGTCGAGTTCAAGGCCGCCAAAATATTGCCATCGGATGTGAAGGCGAGCGGTCTGATAACACGCACCGATGCGGAACGCTTGTGTGCCGCATTGTTGCATCGCTCCGATCGGAACAGTTATGTGCCTGTGGAGAGTCTGGCAAAGGGTGCACTCAGTTTTCAGGTGTATCACAAATGCTTTGGCAAATGTGAGGGCATCTGTACGCCGGACATGTATTCGTATCAGAAACCGACGTGTATTCAGTGTCTGGAGTGCGATGGCTGGTTCTCGCCACAGAAATTTGTGGGGCATGTGCATCGCAAGTTCGAGAATCGCACCTGTCATTGGGGCTTCGATTCGCGCAATTGGCACGATTATCTTCATGTGGCGCTCGACGTGGAGAATCGGGAGAAATATCAACGCATCTTGGATCAGCTTAAGGAGGTCGAACTCAAGGAGATGCACAAGGCACAGTGCGAACTGGATCACAAGAAGCGAAAGGTGAGCGACACATTGATTTCCTCTATTTAAAGTTAATAAAATTTAAATAACAAAAAAATTATAAGAAATATTTATAAGATTTATCGATAAGTGCAATATTAGAACTGGGAAGGTATACAATATAGTTTAAATTATATACAAAATAAAGTTGAATATTAATTTTTAATTCAAAACCAATAAGAAATATTTATAAGATCAGAATTAGAAATATTCGGTCGACACAAATGCAATACTTGAACAATATTTTCTAGTTGAGCAAATGCTGTTTGTTTCTTTTTACATGCTAGCGAGTTGCTATTAACTAAACGACATGCAATTTTGAGAACATTAAGTTCGGCATGTTCATAATTTGTGCAACACATCATAAATATTAATTAATATAATGTGAAATTTAACTTATTTTGTGCTTGTTGTGATTAGAGTTGTATTAACACGTTTAAAATAAGTTCGGTACGCTTATTAAGCATATCCATAAATAAATTCAAAGATATTTTACAATTTTGTAATTAAGCTTTTTGGTTTTGGATTCTGTTAAGCTTTCTGGCTCCGGTTGGCAACCAGCTGTTTTTTTCTTCTAATTATGCCCTCAAACTTCAACTGGCTACTGCCAATCGGAATCGGAATTGGAATCGGATTTAAAAGCGCCGTCGGCATCTTCTCACACCTTTGGCTACTGCAGCGCCCACTGGCGGCGTTTGAGGCGGCGCCATATTTGGTTATCGATGCTGTTGTTGTTATTGTTCTTGCTATTTTTATTGTTGTTGTATTCTCATTCACATTTCGCATACGCATTCAATTCGATCTTCTTTAACGACATTTCGTCGCTCGTCGCTTGCGCGCCCCATAAAAAAAATACAAAAAGGCAAGTGGCCAACAAGGCAGACAGAGATAGACATATACATATGTGTAATATTGGCGCAGTCATAAAAAATGCGCAGCAGCAGACAAACAAAATTAAAAATCATATTATGTATGTTAGTATTAAAAAATATTAATTTTATTTTAAATATATGTATATATATATATATTTTTTTTTTCTATATGTATTTTTTCATTTGAATGCTTGTGTCTTATTCCGCAACTCGCTGCGTCCAAAAAAAAAACAGCAACAAGAACGAATTTTACCGTTGATCCGGCTGCATTCGTTTTTTGTGTGTGTTTATTTATTTAAACTACTTAAATTTTGTGCTTAAACAGCGCACTCGATTTGTCTTTTAATAAATACCAGAGGTGTTTTTTTTTTTTGGATTGGGCCTAAAGCAATTTTTTTTTGTGCGCTGCCAGCGCGTCTGCCGTGGCCATGGCCAACGACGACTGCAACGGTGAACGGCGAGCAGCGGACTGCGCTGCGACGACAACTTGTCTCTGCTGACGTCTGTTTGCTGGCAAACAGCAAGACAACAACAAGAAAAAGAACGAGCACAATGACGAACGAGCGTTGATTATTTTTAGTCGATGCGTGACAATTGCGAAGCTGCCAATTCGTGTGAGCCACATTCATTCACTAATTCGATCAAAGTATCGATAAAAAGCGTAGCATAGAAACCCAAGTACTTATTAACTAATTGCTACAGTAATTTGATATATCGATAGGTGCTTAATATTTGCTTCGTATTCCGATCAATAGGTTTTCTTTTGTGCTTTTGCAATAAAAGAATGAAATTTAATATAAAATTAAAAAAAGGAGTTTGTACAAGATTTATCGATAAATGCAAAAAAAGAAAGAGAAAGGGTTAAATATAGTACAAACTTAATTAAAAATAAATTGTTATTGTTGATTTTATTTATTGTCGTTTATCTAATTACATCAAATAATTACAAATTGTTAATTATTTAAATTGTGACACGCATTCCCCCCTCATAAACTTAGTGCGTGCCAATTTTTTTTGTTTTACTCACTCTACTCGATGCTCTTGTTGTGCTTTTTGTGCTTGTCATTGTGCTGCTGCGTGGTGTTCGATTGCGCCTGTGGCAGCATCAGCTTTTCAATTTTGCAGAAAAAAAAACTCCGCACCAGCTTCAATGTTAAAATATTCAACAAATATGTAATAATAGTAAGACAAAAGGGCAGGGGGTGGGGGAATTGGGAATTGAATGAGGAAGGGATAGGTGGGCTTAACGGGGAGCAAGGGCAAAAATAAATCGCAAACCGGTTAATGTCTGTCTGCTGTCTGCCTGCTTGTTGTGTACTTTGGTCATGGCTCCTCTCTCTTGCTGCCTCTCCTCATTGTCTTCGTCTCTCTTCCTCTTTCTCTCCATCTTTCACTTGGGCCGCCGCTGCGCAGTCGCAAAATCAACTGCCAGCGGCGCTCGTTGAGCAAAAAAGGAACACACAAAGATTATTGTATGTATGTGTGTATAAAACAATAACAAGCAGAAACAGCAGCAGCAGCAGCGACGGCGGCAGCGGCAGTTAGCAGACAGCAAGCTTGCGAGAGAGGGACGAGAAGCTAAAGAGAGCGCCCCACACGGGCGCAGCATGCAAACAAACTTGCTTTGAAATGCCAATGAACGTGATAGACGAAGACAGCAGCAACAAAAACAATAAGTGTAGTCCGCTCTAGTCAGATATGCTGGCGAAAGCATACCCTGTAGAAAAATTTAGATAAAATATATATATGAAAATGCATTGTACATATATATTAAAATGAACATTAAATTTTGAAATTTTCTAATGGTATTTTATGTGTGCGCAGCTGACTTCCTCTCGTTGTGCTACCCTTTTACACAATTTTTAAATGGGTATCACATATAAGAATAACGATGCCTGCTGACGTTGTCACGAGGCGCGCCGACTTTGACTGAGCAGTCGGCAGACCTTTTGTCTATATACTTTGTTCTTGTTGTATTTTCTTTTGGTGCCTTTGCCCTTCGAAGAGTTGTCGCTTGTCATTTTTTTTTGTTTTTTGCTGTAGTATTTTGTGCTGTGTCGGCGCCTATGTGTGACTAATCAAGTTGGCAGCCCTCGCAATCGCCTGTTGACTTTCTGTTTTTTTCACTTTTGCTGCATCTATCTCGCTCTCTCCGCTGATCGCTTACATAACTCAAAACCAAAGCATTTTTTTCGCATTTTGTTTTCCATTAAGAATCTCGCAATAAGTCGCAAAAGCGAAAATTTTGCTTAGGGAATTTCATGTTTCGGTTTTTGAAACACGAAATCGAAAAACGCAAAACAAAAACTGTTTCAACTGGTTTTTTTGCTTATCGCTCGTAAAATTACCAAAAACTAAAAAAAATTTCTACACGAAGCTTTAATCTTTACGGATGCTTTAAATGTATGTTTTTTTGTTTTTGTTGTTGTAGTTAGTTTTGCTTGCTTTTTGTTTGTCAGTCAGTCAGTCAGTCAGTTAGTGATCATCATCATGTTTTTCTGGTTGTATGCATGAAATTACAAATCTGAAACTTAACGCATAGCACGTCCAATATATACATACAATAACCCAAAGACCAAAACTTGGTTGTTGTAATCCATTTGGACATTTATTCGCTTATATCTTATCTCCCTTTTGTTAAAGGCTGATACCTTAGCGCAAAGTTTCGCAGTGACCACGTTTCGTATTGCCAAAAAAAGTAATAAAAAAATAATGTTGATTAAAATAATAATAAAAAAGTTTTAATAACAATACTAATACTATGAAAACAATGAAGAGCGCAAAATTAAAACGCATTTAGTCAGGGTTACGTCTAATCAAAAAACGTTTCACTAAAAAGCTTAGAAATCTTCATGAAAAAGAGTTTTTCAGACAGACACGTGATTCTCTCTCACTCTCACTCTCCCTTTCCCTCTCTCCCTCTGTCTCCTGCTGATTTTCACTGGCATTATCTAGTAATTTATTTGGTATTTGATTTGATTAGTTGTTCAGATTTTGTGATCAGCTAATTGAATTGTCATGGACTTTAAGAAATTATAATTCTTGAGATTAAAGGAAATTTTTCAAAAGAGCTCATGTGACTAAATATTAATAATCTATGATTTCTATTTTGGTTTTTTAAGCAAATTTACTGATTGAAGTAGTAAAGATGCTTCTTCTAAGTTTAAAAATTGCGCCCTCTAAAGAGCTGTTGGGCATTTATTAGTGCTCGTTCCAAAGGCTACTGTTCTACATATTTATAACTATATAATATATGCATATACATGTATGTGTTGTATGCATATGATTATTAACCCCAGGGATTTGCTTCGCTGAGCTTGTTGTGTTGGCAGAGCTGACAGTTGGCGATGTGATAAGCGCGATAAGCAACAGCATGAAAGAGAAAAAGAGAAAAGAGAGCGAATGGTTCTCTATTTCTTTCTTGTTTTTTTTTTACTCACTCAGTCGCTGATCTAGTCTAAAGCCCGCTGGGTAGTCTCGAGACCTCCTTGCATCATCATCAGCAACATGATCATCATCATGTCATGTGATGTTCGTTTTTTAGTTTGTTTATGATAAAACTTAAAAGTTGAGACAGACGGCATCATCTAAAAGGCAAAGTCGCATTCGCAGTCGCCAGTCGCAGTCGCCAGTCGCAGTCGCCAGTCGCAGTCGCCAGTCGCAGTTTCAGTCAGTGAGGTGCGGCCGTTTCTAGGCTTGGGCTTGAAGTACAACTATCAGTTCTAAGTACTTGTTACACTACGAAAAAATAGCTCGCTAAAATGAAGAATATATTATTTTAAACAGATTACTAAACCTGCATGTACAATATATTTTTTCATAAAGTCAGATCAGAAAATTCAAATCAAGCATATATTTTAAAATAAAGTGCCAAAGTCAGCATTTTCTAGAATAAAGAACCTTAAGTCAAGTTATATTCGGGTGAAAAATGGATTCCTATTAATTAGATTTGCATTCTCATTTTTAGGCAGACATTTTGGACTCGTTTTTATATAACATAATCATTATATATTATGGAAAAAATTCTTAAATAAATTATGCTTATCTTATTTTTAGAATGCAGTTTTTTCTCTATGTGCTTGCTGCTTATTATTATTATCGTTATTTTTTATTTTTTTTTGCATACGT